AAAATCATGGAAAAATTATGGAAAAATTATGAGAAAATCATGGAAAATTCGTGGAAAAAATATTGGAGAAATCATGGAAAAATTATGAGAAATTCATGGAAAAATTATGAGAAATTCATGGAAAAATTATGAGAAAATCAAAGGAAAATCATTGAAAAATTATGGAAAAATTATGAGAAAATCATGGGAAAATCATGGAAAAATGATGAGAAAATCATGGAAAACTCGTGAAAAAATCATGAAAAAATCACGGAAAAATTATGAGAAAATCGTGGAAAAATTATGAGAAAATTATGGAAAACTCGTGGAAAAAACCATGAAAAAATTATGAGAAAATCATGGAAAAATTATGAGAAAATCATGGAAAAAAGCATGGAAAACTCGTGGAAAAATTATGAGAAAATCATGGAAAAATCGTAGAAAAATTTGAGAAAATCATGGAAAACTCGTGGAAAAAATCATGGAAAAATGATGAGAAAATTATGAGAAAATCATGGAAAATGTATGAAAAAATCATGGAAAAAACGTGGAAAAATCGTGAAAATTTATGGGAAAATCATGGAAAAATCATGGAAAAATTATTGAAAAATTATGAAAAAATCATGCAAAAATCTTTTTAAAAAATCTAAAAACATTACAAGAAACATAATAAATTAACTTTAAATTTAACAAATTTACTTTTCCTTATTTTCCCACCTAGTTTTTCCCCTTAATTTCCTCACTGTGCACCCTGAAAAGACAGTAGGCATATGGAAATTGGGCATGTGAGACCGGGAAATGGGAAATGGCAGGCAAACACACACGTGCTAAGACCGAGTCAAGGGGAATCGATTAAATTTTCTTTTAATGCCCAACCATAAATTTCCCTTTCGAGTTCGAGTTTCTCAGCCCAACCCCATTGTCAACGACCTTTCAGCGAAAGGCAAAAGGAAAAAACTCAAAAGGAGTAACAGAAGTTGGCAGAAACAGAAAAGAGCAACAGAAAGTGGAACACAAACAGAAACAGTAACCGAGCCAAAAACCAAAAGACAACTCCTACTCCTTCCTAACCAGGAAAAATGAAATAAAAATAAAGCAAAAATTATGTCTAACGTCACATTGCCGAGTTCAGCTGATTCTTTATCAGCGTTAAGTGCCCGGGATCCATCTACCCCAGCTCCTTAACTGATTATGTATGCCATTTGTTGTGTGTTAGTCCAGGCCAGGATATGCCAGGACAGGACTGAAAGTTACTGGTTAAAGTAGAAATCCTTTCTCACTCATATCCAACCCTTGTCAGTCGAAGGATAGAAACAAAAATCGGTAGATAAGTCCATTGAGTGTTATTTACGAGTTAATTAAAGTTTTTTAGGGGATTAAAAAAGTGTTTGATAAAGAAGTAGGTTTACTAAAAACTAAATATTAAACGATATACTTATGTTAGCTGCAGCAGAAAATAAACTTTAATCTAAGCTTAAACTAATTAGTCACAGGAGAAATTCTCCCTCTATAAACTTAAGAAGGAACTTTCAAGGAAAGCTTAAACTAATGCCACCTTCACCCGACTTAAGTTCTTTAATCCTTAAATCTCTTTAACTTAAAGCAGCTGCACTTTAGCTAGGGTATCATCCAGTTCGACCTCATACTGCCAGCCATAACGCTTCGCTGGCGAAATGAGAGATTTGCAAAGAGATTTACGCGAAACACCAAAATGAACTTTTGTGTGTGTAAATTTATGTGCAGTTGCCATTCCTTCAGCTTAAGAGATGGCAAAGCCAAGAGGGGGGGAGGAGTCAGGCTTAGACCAACACCCACCCAGAAGCTAAGTAACTAACGCCATTAGCTGCTTAGTTTTTCGAGGGAAGGAGGCAGGCAGGCGGGAGAAAGAAAGGAAATGCTTTCTAGGCATTTTTATTGCTGCATTCCTAGAAAGAAGAACATCAAAAATCAACGCAGAAATCATCGCTTAAGTCAGCTTTTCTTTGGCAATTTTTCCCCCCAAGCTATTGCTCATTGATTTTTCTTTACACCAAAACTGTAATCTGCAGGTGGAAATCACAGATTAAGTACGGAATTTGATTTTAAATAGAAATAAAACGCTGCTAGAAGTAAAGTATCTAAAAATGGTACCAAAAAGTATCTTCCACTTGCCGTTTTTTGATTACATTTCCAGACTCATGAATATTCAATGAAATCGCCTGGCATTATGGCCAGAAAGTTTAGCAATAACAACCAAAACTCAATGGGCCTTAAAATGGCTTAGCCATAAAGTCTTTGCTATGTCAAATTGTTTAGTTAAATTAGATCTAGTAAGAGTGACTAGCTAGCCACACTCTCTGCTATAGCCTCTTGTATTTGCTAATTAAAGTCAGCCCAACGGATGATAAGTGGGCAGGGTTGGTCAGTGTATATAAATAAGCCTTGGTCAGGTCAAGTATCTGGCCAAAAAACACAAAAACACACACACACAGGCCAAGGCAAATAAGCGGCCAATAAAAATATTATTAATAAGCCAAATGACAACACACACACACACACACACACACGTCAGCTTATTATTATTATTTTATTTTGATATCCACTTATCAAAATTGAAGGTTTTAACGCATTAATGATGCTAGCCAGTGGTTGGCTCTTACAGCATTATGCCAATAAGATATCATTTATTTTCTCACTGTATGTGTTCTTATCATGGTTGTTGTTGTTGTTCTGCCACCACCATCATTCAGGCTGATGGAAATGGAAATGGAAATGGCCTGGGAAATGTGGCAGTGGCAGTGGCTGAGGCAGAGTGAGAGGGAAATTAGCAACAACGCGCGCACATCAGCCATCAAGAGCAGTTGGGTGTGTTTTAGCCATAAATTTATTAACTTAGTGTCACATTTATAGCCACTCTGCTAACCGCCAACACCACACAGAGAGAGATAGAGAGAGTGGGGACAGGAAAGGACATAGAGAACAGGAAAGGACACTGGACAGAAAAGGACATCAATGACCAGGGCAATGCAATGACAGCGTGGTGGAAAGGCACTTTTAAATCTACTTGAAAATTCCGCTGATTTCGATTTCTAATTGATGAGCCAAAAGGTAATAGAGAATAAATTATCAAATGGGGAAAGCCCAAGGGTCACATAAAGATAAACTAAGACTTTAAATAACAAGTTGTAAAACCGTTAATTATCCTAAAACATAGATTAAGCTATTTTGTATTTCCATTTCAATTAGAAGATGGAATGAAAGTGATTAGCAATTATGAGTGACAGATTATGTCACGGGAAAGTTTAATGACAAAGCTTATCTATCAATCATTCTTGGTTTTTGGTTTAATTTAATTATTAAATAATCAATAATTGAGATTGCAATGGAAATATATTTCATATTTAAGTTTTAGATAAATTCCAAATTATATAGTATACTTTTTAGCTGACTTTTTATATTAAATTCATTTATTAGCTTAAATTTGAAAGACACTTTAAATTGAGTTTAAAATTAACTTAAATGCCTTTTTGAATTCAAATTAGAGTTGGTTTTAGTATTAAAGGAAATGTTAATTTTAAAATCTGAATTTTCTGTATTTTTCACACATATGAAATATGAGAGTAAGGAAAATTTAAATTGAGTTTGCAGCTAAAATTTGTTGGTAAAACCATAAAAAGGAAAACCATAAAGGAAAATATAAATACATTTTATTATTTGAAAATCAAATTTAAGAACTTTTCATATATCCAAGAAACTCAATTAAAAGTTATTTAAAATAATAATTGATATTTAAAATATATTTTATTCTTCCCATTAAACTTTATAGTTTTTTTATAGCTGCTGTAAAAATGAATACTTTTTATATATAATAATTATATCACTAAAAGTTTTTCCAAAAAATTCATAAATTCTCATTTTAAAGCCTTAAAAAAATATTAAAGTTAAAAAAAATTCAACAAAATAACAAACATAATAAATAGTTTTCCGATCCTGCAGAGCACGTTCGTCATTCCTGCCAAGATTAACTAAGCGATTTTAGCCAAAGTCCAAGCATATTTAAGGTAATTCCAAAAGGCCTGGACTTGGCTCATTTGTCAAGTTGGCTTAGACCGTCTTAGCCATAAGGCACAAGACAAATACATATACATACGAGTATATGTTGTGTACCTTCCCCCTTTCCCCCAAAAATCCAGAAGGAATCCAGGAATCATTAGTTCCGGGACCAGGCACATACACCTGTTGTTGCCTTTGGCCCGTGGGCGCTTAACCTGGCTCAGTTCGATCGGATCAGGCGCGGGTGTCGTTATCGTTTGGCCCAAAAAACAGATGTGCCGCCGGAATCAATTTCCCACCATAAAAACGTAACCCAAACACATACACACATATATATATATATAAGTTAAGTATATGTACTATTTGGTGATTACGATAAACACAGTCACTAACTAACAGATAAGCACACACACAAACACACAGAGATCGACTTACATTTATGGTTGCAACTGTTTTTTTATATATTTTTAGGTCAGGCTGCCGAAAACATGAAAAATTCGGGAATTCGCACAGAAAAAAAATATATAAAAATTAAAAAAAAAAAAAAAAACGTTAATAAACACGACGCGAACTTCGGCTTGAATTGTGGATTATTCGAAAATCGTTTTAAAAACCAACGGAAACCGAGACTGAATCGGGGCTACTATATATATAGCTAGAAAGGCAGATGCAGTTCCCCACCTCTGTTTTTGAGAAGGCAAACCGACAGCTTCGCAGTCTCGCGACCAACTGAAGCCCGAGGAGTCCTGGCAGCGGCATTTAAGCAGGTTCCACTTTTAGCTGGCCCCGCAGGAGTGCGGCCTTGGTGGGCGGCGGGCGGTGGTGTCGCAGTAAGCCGGCAGCACTTTGTAACGGTGTCAAACAGCTGTTTTCAAGAAAAAGCTCAGTAAGTAGCTTTCAGTTAGCTTTTGTCAGCCACAGCTGGCAATGCTGCTCTCTAAGAAGCTCTCTCTTCTGTTTACGTACGAGAGGGTAAAGACAAAGACAGCGATTATTTGACAGCTGTCATAGAACCAGGGATGCTTAATAATGGCGTAAGAAAAATGGTTAGCTTTAGGAATACCTCTTAATCGCTTAGTTAATCCTTAAAATGTCGTTAAAGGTTAGTAGAAACAAATTTGTTATCCAAAGATCTGTTAGCTAATCCCTTTCTTATTTTTACAGTAACTTTTATATAGTGCCCAAATCGCGAACTAATTTAGAATTATTTTTCTAACAAACACAAAGTACCGTAAGTAATGGAATCTGCAAACCAAACGCTGAAATTGCAAAGACAAACGAATCCAGAACCTCCGTTCAAACTTAATTTATTGCAGATCAAATGACTTTTCTTCACACCCGATTACCCGGCCACACTATACCCTCGATATAGTCCAAAAAGGAGGAGACACGTGTATACAGGCCCGGTGTCTTGGTGGCACAACCAAAGCCCGAAGAGATTACGCCCAGGATCGAGAAAATGCCATCCGCTTCATTCGTTTCGAGAATGAGCGGACCACCAGAATCGCCCTGGCAGGCATCCTTCTCCTGTTTCCTGTCCGCCGCACAGAGCAGGGAATCGATAATACCCTGCTTGATGGCCCGAAAGGTACTCGACTGCTCAGCAAAGGAGGCATTACACTTGTCCACTGGCACCAAATCCAGGCGTGCCCGCAGCAGGATCTTTGATCTGGCACGATCTGTAAAGGAAAATAACAGGACAAGGAAACATTTATATATCTAAAGGATAACTTATGCTTAACTAGACTTACTTGTCACATTCATAACTCCCCAACCCGCTACGTAGATATTCGAGTCCAGAGGAGGACTAGTGCGCTCTGTATACAGACAGGCGGGACCGACATTATCGGTCATTTTGGCATCCTCGGCCAGTTCTATGATGGCGATGTCATTATATTTACTACTGCTAGTATAGTTTGGATGAATCTGGATGTCAAGCTATCAATAAAAACGGTTAACTTGCAATTTAGAAAGTCTAAAACCTCTCAGTCCTTACCACATCGATGTCCTGATAGCCAGGCTTTGGATTCTCAATGGAAATGGCACCCAAACGGACGAACGTCGGCGTTGTGCTGGCTGAATTGACGCAATGGGCAGCCGTCAAGACGAAACGACTGGCGATTAGAGATCCGCCACAACGGAAATCCTCTGTACCGAACGTATTGTATCCAATGGCTGCCATGTGAGGATAGACGCCCTCGTCCACGGGCAAACCGCCTAAGATGTGTGGCGTTATTGACTTTCCACCAGAACGGATCTTTGCACAGGCTATGGTACGAAAATTTTAAACATAAATGTGTAAGTTTTTGAAATAAATCATAAGAATTCGCTTTTTGTGTGATCGTAAAGAAAGTTTGGTAATTCCTAAGGATTTGCTGAACTAACTCAAGCAAGAAAGAGACTCACCTAACGCCGCTGGACGCTCACTGTCCGGAACATTGACCCGCGAAGTACTGTTCGACGTCGTCGTGCTGTAAAGGACAAAAAAATCAAGAAAAGTGGATTGATTATTGAAGGCAAGGATGGTTTCCGCCTGAGACAGAGACTGCATGCGGTTCCCTGGCTGAGGCCAACTGATGTCCATGCCAAAACTAATCTCAGACAAACCGCGTCACGGCCGGTGTTATGGTGGTTGGACTTGGTCCATCATCCAAATCATTGCTAGGCTCCTTCCAGGGTTCCGGTTGCGGCTGCTTGTCCCTGTCTTGACCCCGAAAACGATAGGGTTCAAAGGGATCCATGAATTTGGTGGGCGTAGGCACGACTTGAGTTTCCATGGGCACTTCACGTGCCGGCTCAATTTGCATTCCCTGCTGACGCAGTCGATCGTTGACCAAGTGAATCAGATTGCTGTTAGAATTGGGATTAGGATTCGGCTGTTGTGGAGTAGGACGCGTGCGTGGCGTGGTCAGCGGTTGGTTTACTATCCTTGGCTCACGATTATCCCAACCCCATTGCGGTTCCATACGTGATCTATGGGCATTCGTTCTGGGTGTCGTTTTCGGCGGAGCAAATCCCCAAGCACCTACGCTCTGGGTAGGCATCTTCATGGATTCATGGGTGGGCCATTTCATGGACTCATGGGTGGGCATCGTCATGGTCTCGGAGGAAGGCATCTTCATGGACTCATGGGTGGGCACCTTCAAGGGCTCGTGAGTTTTCTGTGGCTTGGCCGTGGTGCTAAGCAGCTTGTTGAAGTCAAAGAAGTTCTGACTCTCATCCAATCGAGATTCCCGTATCCTTTTCCTTTCGGTGGTCGTTGGAGGCAGTGGCTCCGGTTCAGGTAACCTGCTGCGTTCAGAGCTCGTCGCAACAAAGTCTTGAACTTCGACAACTCGGCTGTGGGAGTTAGAGGGGTTAGTGTCTGGCTTTGGAGAGCCGAGAAACTGAGGCATGCAACATCGGTGGGCACAAAGCGCAGGCGGGACACACACACACACAAGCACATAGATTTCAAACGATGGACGATGGACACAGGCGGTGACAAGGACACGCTTACTCAGTGGAACAGCAAGGGACGTTGGGACAGCAGATGATCTCTTCACGCGATCCAAAACCACAGCTTGGCACTTGACTGGTGGAGATTTCTCCCGCCCTGAGGTAACCTTCGATATTTTCACAGGCCGAAGAAGCACGACAAATTCCTGGTATATTCACCGTCACCTGGCAACGATCACCTTCTGCAACGAGAAATGGCAAAACCTGAAACGGATCTAGTGTTGGAATCCTAAGGTTCACCTACATACCATCCCCAATGGCTAGCTGGGCAGATGTGGCCAGCATCAGGAGACCCAAAAGGTAGTACCTTCTCGCCGAGATCATTGTCAAACAGCTGAAAGAGTGAATCCCATAACCTTATCAATGTGATTTGAACTTGGAAAACAGTTTTTTTTCGTGGCAGGTCTTCCCCTTGCTGGGAAAAACAAGGGAAATCTGTTTCTTTTTATTGTTTATTTCGATTTTCAGCTGATTAAACCGGACCTGCCATTGACCTACTTAAGTTTTTTGATTCTAAAACATCAACATTCTGTAGAATTCAAACCAGACTCGGTTTATTTTTTTTTTGTTTCAATACACCCGACTATCTATCTATCTGATGGTAAGCCAGTGGAAAGTTATTACCTGTCTGATTACGAGAATTCAAGATGATTCATAGAAGGGGGCCGGGCCTGCCTTTTATCTTCTCGCTGGGATTTTACCCAACGGGCAAAGACATTTGTTAACTGATTTAAAAAGCGGTTTCAGTAATTGCTGATAGGAAAGTAACATCATCACCTGACAGTTAGGATACTTAATTGACAAGTCAGTCGTCAGTCTGTCTGAAAATCGTAAACTTCTTCAGCTTATCATCTTGCCACAGGAAATGCTGATTTCGATTACCCTTTTAGAAATCGTGCTAAAATGTAATAACAAGGTAAATCTAATTGATAAGCAGCTTCCGGTTGTTTCAAGTAATTTTCCCTATGTAACGTAAATGGGAGCATTCTATATAGTCCCCTGACCATTGTCCAGTTTCAAATGTCCGCCTTATCGAACGCACCTTTGACACGACCTTTTTTTTCGGTCTCTGATAAGGGAGTATAGTACGTATACGTTTTCGCTGGATGTTTATTGAGTGCGTCTCGGGCACTATGATGAACACGGCAATCAGGCACACCACAATAAAGCACAACACCACATCAAAATAATATTTAAAAAAACAAAAAAAAATACTAAAAAACAATATACAAAACAAACAAATCACCGCAAAAAAAAAAAAACACCAGCAGAGCTGAAAACCGGTGGGCAAAACAAACGACACTCAAATCGCGATATTTTTGCTGGCTAACTTTTGTGGCTCTTGACCGACCGCTCAGCAACGCATCGCCCAAGCAACTGAAGCCCCTGTTTAAGCCGCGAGCTGGAGCTGGGGAACTCATGGAACCTATTGAACGGCGGCCAAGAAGCGCCGCCGGACACGACAGCTGATAGCACCCAGAGTCGTCGCTCCCGCTCCCGCTGAGCGCAGCGAACCGGTTTTCCCTTCCCAGCACTTCCCAGCAGAATCGCAGAACGATCCGAGGCATTCAGAAGCCAGCAACCAGCAGCCAGCAGCCAGACAAAGCACAAAGGCACAGCCTGTAATTAGCAAGTGGTAATCGTTGAGATGCAGTCTGTAGACTAAGAGATACTGTGGAGTACTCATAATATCCTTAAACTACAATGGTGGCCAATACTAGATTTCTCAGAGGTACCTTTAACTTTAACTTTGACTCCTTCTAAACATCCTTCTCATCTTAAGTATTAATAACATATTTTATTTGTATTATATAGATTTGATCGCGGTTTTTGTAGAGATCACAGTTATGTGTATATGCCAATTTGGGTAAAAATAATTCATAATTTGTTTTTAAAATCATGCCATAGTCTAATATGCTCCATGCGCCTGGTTCATCCTAAAACAACATGATCGTTTTACACTCGATTGTCCGGCCAGACAATGCCCTCAATAAAGTCCAGATAAGAGGATACACGTGTATAAAGGGCTGGCGTAACGGTGGCGCATCCAAATCCCGACGAGATGACACCCATTATGGTGTACATGCCGATCTCTGCGTCAAGTTCACGCATAAGCGGACCACCAGAGTCGCCTTTGCAGGCATCGGCTATTAGTTTATGATCTATGGCGCACATTAAAGAGTCGATCACGCCATGACTAAGAAACCGATTTGATCCCGGTTGCTCAGCATAGGATATATTGCATTGTTCCAGGGTCACCAAATCCAAACCTGCTCGCATGAGAACCCTAGAAACCGCACGAGCTGTTGATTTAATAATCATCATTAGAAGTTCCAAAGAAGACAATGGATTTCCACTTCTACTCACTAGTTAAATTAAGGACACCCCAGCCGGCGACAAACAACTTGGAATTAGATGGTGGATCTCCTGGTTCCGTGTTAAGACAAGCAGGTCGAACATAATCCGACTCGATCACGTCACGTTGCAGTTCCAAGACAGCGATATCATGATACTTTTTGCCCACATACTGCGGATGGATCTGAACACTTTTCTAAAAAATCATATTAAGGTACAAGAAATTCCTATTGAAAGACTTTTTAAAATCTTACCACAACGATATCCTGATAGAACTTATCCGGATTTTCAATGTTTACCGTTCCCAGGCGGACAAAGGCTGGTGAATTGGCTTCGGTGTTGACGCAATGAGCGGCCGTCAGGATAAACCGACTGGCGATTAGTGATCCACCACAACGAAAATCAGTGCCAAAGGTGATATAACCAATAGCCGCCATATGAGGATAGATACCAGGATCAACGCGATGACCTCCAACAATGTGGGTGACCAGATCGTTGCCACTTTTATTTTTCCTTTGTTCCCGAATCTTCTTACAAGCTGCAGCACAAAGGTTTACCCAGTTAAGCAAGAGATTATGATCTCGAGATCTATATATATACAAACCTGCCAATGCTGGACGATCACCGGTTCCAGTTTCCGTTGGCACATTCACACGCCCCTCAGACTTGATCGTTCTGGCCGTCGATGTACTAGTGGAAGTTCTGGTGGGCACAGTTCTTGTGGTACTGGAAATATATCTTTATGTGATTTCTATGTTAGTTCTTGGAAACTCATTCTGGACTTACCCATTGCCACAGCATGGCTCTGTGGGACAGCAGAAGATCTCACCCCAAGCGCCGAGACCACAACTAGGCACATCGCTGAGCTTAAGGACTCCCGACTTGATATAACCATCGATCAATGGCTCACAATCGGAGGCAGTGCGGCAGATTCCAGGCATATTATCCGTTACCTTGCAGGCCTTACCAACTGCAAAGATCATAAGATCTTAAGACTTGGTTTGATTTTAAGGAAATGAGAACTTACCTGTTCCAGCTGCATCTACAGAGGAACTGCTGAAGATCAGTAGGGTTCCAAATAGCAAGGACAATGACATCTTCATAGCCGCCTGTAAGTAAAGAAGTGATTAGATATTATATATTGCTAGCATATGATTAATTATGATAATACTTTGATACCTAATAAGAATTATAGTCAGTTCTAGTTTAAGAAAGCTTAGTAAGTAGGGGAAGTTCAAGGTTATCTTCCTGAAGATAGTATTTCACCATTTAAAGGAAAACATATTTGTGGACAATTCGGATCGGTTGATTCACCTTCTATTTTTTTTTTTTTTGTGGCTACCTGTAATCTCTGTTCTGTCACTCATTCTTAGGGGTATTTATAGCTGATATCGTAAATCGCCTAAGCTATTTGAGGGGTGGGATTTATAACCGATAAGGTTGGTATTCTATTACCAAATTAATTTCAAGTGGTGAAATTTTTTTCACTAAACTTAAGTAATAGTTAATAGTGTAACCTCAGTTACGATTATAGTACAAACCCACCTTTGACACAAACTTTTTGATAAGGAAATACGTAGATGCTTCGATGTTATTTAAGAGCATCGAACAAGCAATAGATCATGCAAAACACGAGGAGCAATGCAAAATAAAAATGCACATCGAGTAAGGCTAATAAAATAATTTAAAAAACAAAAAACCGGTGGAGAGAATCTCAACGTTATGGCACAAAACGCGGAGGAATAGAATGGCCTGTGCTCTGACCGCTCAGCAAAGCATCTCCAATGCAACTGAATCCCATTCTGGGACCAATTCAATGTGGAGGGAGCTTCCAAGCTAGACCTAGTAGCTGATAGCTAAATGATCAATCCTCTCTCTCGCTTCAACCGGTTTCTGCCATTGACAGTATTTTGTTTAGAATTCAGAGCCCAGAACCGATTCAAAATAATCGGAAAAACACGAGCAAGGCTTTTTATAAACAGATAAACATAACTTGACGAGGAGAGCAGTGCCAAACGGAATTAATTATGATTTTTTTCCCCCATCTATAGATTAAGTCATTTACCAAGTACGTAATCCATTATCCATTATGCAGTTCCTTTGAATTTGGGTTTCTTGGGGTCAGGGAAATACTCAAGGTTACAATGGAATCCAAAGCCTTTATCGAATTGAGTTGTTCTGTAATTGCAAGTCTTTAATTTATGCGAATATCTTGAGAATAAAAACTTATCAAATGTTCATAAAGTTGCAAATTTATGCATAACCCTATCGTTTAAGTCAATGTATACTTACAATGTGCCAATGAGCTATTTCCTTTTTTTAACTTAACAGATATACATAACTAAAAATGTAATAAATATGCATTTTATTTCCTATTTTAGTTTTACAATTACTTTGAGGTTTCGAAGTACATAGATATTTACTGTTATGATCTTAGGCATTTACAGTAAAGTAAGATGTTTTCCAGTGTTACCATACTGATTGAATGTTGCCACTATGTTATGGTCAAGCTTGCCAAGAATTCGTTATGAGTAACGGAAACATTTGTATACCTTAGTTTTCCTATCTACAACTATAGTAATAGTACAGACTTAATTGGATTGTTCTAACTTAATATATATGACATAGATGGACTACTTCCTCTGTTCCTGCTCCACAAATCGCCTAAACTGTGGACTCAGTAGACCGGTGAAATACATGGTTCGTGCTTCGCACTCAGCACCTGTAGGTGTGGCGATTCCCAGGGCACAGCGACCACCTCCTGGTCGCACCAAGTGCAGGATACTGCCCACCGTTGCTGGACAGGGGGCGCAGGTGCTGCTTTTGGAGAATTGTTTAAGATCATTTTCTCCTTCCGCTGGTTCCACACAAAGATGTGAGCTGCCCAGATTCTGGACTCCGCCGAAGTTCAGCAAATCACCGCAGACCCATGTGGGACGCAGTCGCATGGGAATCTCGTACAGCGGACAGTCCGTTTCTGGAAAACAGAATATTCAATGGTAAGGAAGATCTTTTGGGTGAGATGTGTCTTAACTAACCTTCTCCTTTGCCCCAGCCCACGGCCACCAGACTACCGCTCACCTGGAGCCTCGTCAACTCGAACTGACTGCAAATGGGAGCCAAACTCACGTTGGCTGAGGTCTGACTGCCCAGACGCAGTGGATCCTGTAGTCTGATCAGTGACAGATCCTTTCGGAATTGAACGAGGCGCTAAAAGTAGGAAGTAATACATAGTTTTATAGACTTTTAGATACATGTAATTCCTTATAAACCTACCACAATATCCGCCAGATAATCCTCGTCCACATCAACGTCCCGCATATCAGCCACTCCGAAGACAGCATGACTGGGTCGTTCACAGCCAGCGGCGCTGACCAGGAGCTGTGGTGTCAGCACAAGGGCGGCACAATGATGCAGGTGACCATCGAAAGCGGCATTCGGATGAGCCAGCGAAGCCAGGTGACGATAGTGAGGCAATAAGCTATCCGCCCGAGCAATAGCGGCCAACTCCAGAGGGTCCGATTGCTTGCCTTCCGAAGAGTCACCCGGCACATCTAAACGTAGGTCGCTCTGGAAACGAGGTTGCAGTGGCAGATTAAGTGGACAACAGATGATCTCTTCAATGGTTCCTTCGCGACATGTCGTAAAGTCCTCATCCTTCAGACGACCCTGGGCCAGGAGGGGCCTCACACTGGGACAGGTCGATACAGCCCGACACTGACCTTCGTACAATGGAGCCGTGCAGTCTGCTCCCTCGGAAGTGTCCCGGAATGTGATGCCCTCCCTGGTTGGCCGATTAATGGGCTCTATGGATTCCTTAAGGTAATCCCGGTCCGTATTGAAAATGCTTAGCCATGGTTCTGGTGTAGGCGGAGGAGTAGTCGTTGTAGTTGTCGTTGTTGTTGTAGTTGTGGTTGTGGTACTAGTGGTTGATTCTGTGGAATCTATCCGCAATTCCCTCTGGGCATACTCCACGGGACAACAGATCTTCTCCGTGTGAGTAGTAAAGCCGCAGTTCATCACGGTCTTAAGGTTAAGTAGTCCTGCCTGAAGATGGGAAGCCAAGGTCTGGCATTCCTCCACCAATTCGCAGCGACTTCGGTAATTCTCCGTGGGACAGGCATCACCAACTGGAGGAAAGAGGATTATTCGTTATTTCAGTTTGGGGAAAGGTTCTACTACTACCGCAGACTCAAAGAAGAGCTTAATTTATGGAAGTCTATTGATAAGAAAGGTATATATGACAGTTTGGCTTTACTTTAAAATTGTTTTTGTAAGTGAAATTATTTGAAATTTGTTTCATTCTTTTCATAAAACTGATTAGTAGATCAGGCGATAGCTTACGCACCCTCCAGGCTGAAATAACCCCGACAGAAGCCCAGACAGAGGCTCGTGAAGATCAGGACTGATATGAAGTCAGGTTTCTCACGACGTAACATCGCACGTTTTGTTGGTAATGCTATGGTTGTTATTATAACTATTATTAGTATTACAACTATCGTTGTATTATTTATTTGTTTTTTTTTATTTCGACTTTCTCTAAAAACTGGCTGGGAGAAACTGACCGATCGACGGCACTGCTGGCGATCAACTGGCAGCTGGAACAAGCGTGGCTCTCCGAGCAAATATGAACTGGACTGAGGTAATTCTCCGACCAACTGGTTCAACGATCGCCGGAGAGATAGAGAGAAAAACAAATTGAGCGAACTGTAAGTAGAGGAGAGATGTTGACCCAACATGATTGATTCCACAAAAAACTTAGTCACCGATCAGTTAAATGGGAGAAACCCCAAAAAGAGCATCCTCTGGGATATTGCAAACAGACAGAATAGGGGGTGTACCATGGGCTTAGATCATCCAAAGATAATGCAAGTGTTATTCAACATTCTAGTGACTAAACTAATTACTACCTTAAAAAATTGTTATTTAAACCGCCAGACAAACTAACAGTCAAGGGATCTTACACCTTTATTTAATTACTCTCATTGATAAAGTCCAGAACTGCCTGGTTAATAAAACTGGTGAAGTACAGATCAGCATTTCCGGTTTTATAGCACTTTCCGCCAGTGGGTGTGGCAATACCAGCTACACAAACTCTTCCATCAGCTTGTACGGCATGAAGGACACTGGCACTGGCACGAAAACACCGGAAACAGGAGCCGGCCTTTGATGCCGGCGTGTTGACGGGGTAAACACAAAAATGGGTCTGACTATTAACACCTTTGACCTCAGACGTAATTGTCACATTGCATGTATTGAATGGCCTTAAAGACATCTCCTGCTCAAACCACTCACAGTTGGCATCTGAAATAGATGAACCAGGAGATTAATTATCCCTGAACTGAGTTCACTTACCATTCTTTTGAGCAAAGCCCACAGCCACCAACTTTCTAGAGCTGTCCACATCTTCTTGCTTACAGATCTTGGCCAAGGCTTCACTACCATAATTGCCAGTTAGCGGGAACATAACAAGATCTCTATTGTAGACATAATTACTCTGGAAATGGAATTAGCTAGGTGGGTTTTTTCTAGGAAACTCATGAAACCTACGTTCCCAATTCCTAGCTCTTCTTTGAACGGAGGAATAAGACCAAGGCGGACACGGTTTGGCATCTCAAGAATGTCATCCAATCCTGCACAATAGGCCGATGTGAGCACCATGTTCTCCTTGACTATCAAAGCGGCGCAGCGATATAAATAGAAGTCTAAGGTAACAGAATTGAGATAGCGCAGGGAAGCCAGGTGTGGATATAGTTTCTGGGGATCAGGTTCAGACTTGGTATCCCCTGGCAACTGAGGAGGGGATAATTGGTTGGGTTTAGATGGATCCTGAGGCGGATGATTGGGACAGCAGGTGAGCTCCTCGACCACATTGCACTGCACCACATCCTTAGCTGTCAGAGTCTTTCGGAGAATATGCATTTCAATCATCGCAGAGCAATTCTTTTTGCAAGTGCTCTCCGGGTAGCTAGGCATACTCGGACAGGGATCTCCCTCTAAGATGAAGTCAAGTTAGTTAGATAGACTTGGTAAGTGGATATAGAACCCACCTTTCAATGGAAACTCCAGTTTGGTAGACCAAGCTGGTATTACAGTAAATGCAGTCAGCAAAATCAGGTATTGCCACATCATGGTATAGCTTCTCTCAGAGTTCATGCAAAACTGAATGCTTTATGGAAATATTATCTCGACTTTGGATTTCTATATATATATTTATATGGATTTCATTATACCCATGGCCCTCCACATCCTCAATGTTTCTCTTTGTTTCGATTCTGTCCTTATCAGCATCCTACAATCTTGACTCTGCTTCATAGTGAAATGGAAACTCTGAGAAACAATCGATGTTAATTATTTATGATTAATCGATTTTTAAGTTTAATTTAAAAATATATTTTTTTTTTTGCCTTTTTTGGGAAGTTGTTTACCAGCCAATCTGTAGAAGGTCGGCCACCTTTTAGGCTTTCATATACGTAAATTATTTATATTTTTGTAACTGAAAAACGTACTTCCTCTGGGGATCTTTAAGATACTCTATGAATCAAATCTATATATGTACTCTTTAAGGAAATCAGTTTCTATAGGTCCCCAACCAGCAATACTTTATTTTTCCAACATTTTAGATAAGTAAAAAAAAAACATTTTGTTTAAATTTGCACATTATTTAGTTTTGATTTTCTATTTTTAATAAGTTTTCTTTCATAAGATCTAAGACTAATAATACTCTCGGCAGATGGTCAAGGTGGGGCAGGGTCTGGAGTTCATGATCACAGTTGGGTTCCAAGGGAAACATTTTATTGTTAACTGAAAGTTCTAGAAAGTTCTAGAATATGACTCTACGATCCCTAGTAACCGTAGATGAATGTCTCGTAATTAAAACTACGGGTTACATTGGACGTAAGCAGGATCTCAACATTTGTCTGTCCGATGCCACCTTTGCTTAGATAGCCGCCAGCATCATCCGCCGACGTGTCCACATATACCTCGATGCAGGTTAGCGTGACACCGGTACTGGTTCCAGCCGGATAGCTCATTAGCACCTCAATATCCTGAACACTGGGAAAGCTACCATCATCGTAATGATTCACAATGAGTCTATCGCCCGCTGTCCGGTTGCCGGAAGTGAAGACAACGTTGCCCTTAGAGTGCTTAACCTTGTTCATCTCGTTGAGTGTTATATCCGGATTAAGGGTAGTGTATCGCGTGTCATCCGTGACTGCTGTGATGTCCGTATAATAAAGATCACTGGCACGGGCATGTGGTTGTCCCGATACCGATACAATAATGCCCAACACCAGGCAGATAAGATGAAACATATTTTCGGATCACGCAATAAAATAGATCACCAGAACAAAAAAATAAAGAAGAAGAAGTTATCTAAGAACCTAGTGGTAGGCTCTTACTAATGCACTATTCGAACGCTTTTTGGATTTTGGCTGGTGCTGGCGACTGTCTCTGGCTTTTATACGTACTACCTTATCGGCGTTATCGATAAGACAGCTCGCCAACTGAACGATAAGCCACCGGGAATTGGCCATGGCAATTTCGGCAAAGCGCACTTATAGCCATACTTATTAATTGGCCATAATGCTTTGATCAGTACCTATAAATAGGCTTTCCCCTATATATTATACTAATCGTAGACGATCGATCGGATATAAAATGGTAAAACATTGTACAATATTCGGAGTGAATCATTAAAGGTTTTCCAGAATAGGAACATATAGGAAGAGCCATACCGACCATCTCTTGGGGGCCAGCGCGTGTTTGTTTGTTTATTCGCTTCACGACAATCTTAGCCTTGATATGCATAATGGCGCACAATGGCAAACAATCTAATAAACAAATAAACCTATCTACAAAGTCAATTGACTGGCTACGCAACATGGCCCCAGACCAATAATATCGTTTCTCCACTTTACTCTGACGTATGTATGTACTTAATTCTATCATAATTGCTATGAAGAGAAAGTCCCCATTGAAAATAACAAATTTGCTTAAATGGTTTTTTCCCAAATTACTTAATAAAACGCGTGGGAGTTTAGCCATTGTTTAAGCTCAGGGAATGATGATTCATAAAACCAACAGGGGAATACCTTCTAAGATCTAACCAGATAGATGGAAAGTTTAACAACGTCATAGGAAGTATATTTTTAGACAAAGAAAATAAGAAAGAAAAATAATAAAACTCATTCGCAGTGTAAATCCAATATAATTTACAATTTCAGTTTCACTTTTCACCACGACGACGCCACCTCAATCGGAATCCAAATCAGATACAGGTGAGTGGCTGTCCCAGATTTATGATACGGCTGTCATCGGTTTCAAGTGGAAGCCGCGTGAGCAATGGAAACCCATTTGAAATTACTTGAGATTAGCAAATAGCCTAAGGAGATGATGATTTATGATCCCCTAACCATCACCAAATATTCTTTTGGTTCAATAGGGGTATCTAACTATACAGGGAAAGAGGAAATGCTATAGACATGAGACTGGGACTTTGGGGTGTACATGTGAGGATGACATAGTGTTACTAAAACTTAATAAGCTGAGTTATTGAAGATTAAGCCATAGATGAGCTAAGTATTTTCAATCAAGTCTAATCAAAAATCAATATTATCAAGCTTTATAGAAAGATTATTCTAAATATACACATTTTATCTACCAGTTCTAGTTATACACATACTAGGCTAGTCAAAGCATCTAACTATACATAGTATTTCTGAACCTAATCCCGAAATAAAACATTAGATATTACTTAAACCAACGTAATCTCAGGATGGGGACCCGTATTAGTCTGCCTGTATACACATTTTATATTTCAAATTAAACTCTAATGACAAAAATTTGAAATAGAATATAAAACTATAAGGTAACCATCAGCTAAGATCTAGCTCTGGCCATAGAATGACGCCTGGTAGGAGAAGTTCTTGGTATTGAAGGCCTCCAGAACGATGGAAATAAACCGCTGGCCGATGCCTCCGGCAACCACGTAGGCAGTGCCATCGCTGGTGTCCTGTGTACAGAGCAGCTCCACGTAGGAGACAACGGCGCCTGAGCCCGCCTCCGGATAGGTAACCTGAACACTCACATCCTGTGATCTGGGGAATTCATAGACATCGGCACCCTGGGCGACTAGCTGATCGCCTGAAAGTATGCAGAGATTGGTTAGTTAGTGTTTTTGTTTTTCGGACAAATTGTATGCTTTTGAGGGAATACTTACCAGGAATACGGGCACCGAGATTGTAGCGAACAGTTTCACTTCCCACACGAGCCTTGCCCTGCACAATCTCCTTTTCCAATGGCTGAATCTCCAGACCCGGATGCTGGGCGGCAAAGATTTTAATATCCTTGACCACACGGATTTCATGGGTATCCACACGAATTTTGCCAGCCAATCCACCGGAAACAAGGCAACCCAACAGGGCAGACAACAGGATCAGACTAAACTTGGACATCTTTTTGGGTAGAGAATTTGGTTGAGGAAGTGTAAACTATTTGTATATCCAGTCACGGCGCTTGGAAGTCACGGAATGATGACCAAGGTCTGGAAACCACCTATTTATACCGGCAAGGGGAAGTCTCTGTTTTGCTTTGAATCATATTTGAAGTCATTCTTATCAGTCCCATTGCCAATTTCAAGTGGCAAGTGACAATGTCTAATCCAGAAAGGGTAAGAGAGCAACACCGAAAGGGGTAATACTCTTTATGAAATATTAAACCAAAAATCGAAGAATTTATAGCAAAAAGTAGGCTTAAATCGAAGACAGATTCTTAGTTAGAAGACCCAAAAAATCAAAGAGTCTTCCCATTTTTTACCACATAGCTAATCTACCCCAAAAGAAAGTGTAACAATAATAACACTGATAAGAAACCTTCTCACTTCACTCAATTAAATTGAACAATTTTGGTGTGATTGCTCTTGGTTCTAATCATCCTCCCTTTCCGTCTTTCCGGCGGCTGTGATGGAGTTCCAATGGCTGAAAGATAACATTTGGGCTCTAATTTTGGTAGTATCAGCCTATCCAGAAGTAAACAAAAATTCGACTTTTTTCTAATTGTTGATTAGCCAAGCGATTCTTGACGAAATCTCATAACCCAGGATTGACACCTGCAAGCACACCTCTCTTACTCTCTCTCCCTATTCTTGATGGTTTGGGAAAATATATTCCCGGAATCTTATCGCCAGCGGACTTCCCTGGAACTGGGGGCGTCAAGTACCTTCGAGACAAATTCGCCCATCATCAAAGGCAATCGATATTGTTGATTCGATTAAACAATACTATAAATTCTGAATCATTTTTTTAAATTAAGATCCATTAGTCATTCTATATGCTTAGGGAACTAGAGTCTCTTAACTATGTCATTTGTATTGGAAAATGAGGGAGTTTGGAGTTAAAAATCATATTTTAGATACTGTAGGCTTTTACTAAGAACATCGAACTCAAAAACAACAAATTCAGACATTTAAAATATCCAAATATTAACCCAAAAAAACATTCCGAAAAAGAATCAACATCTCCGATTACAAGGTAAAGTGTTTAGAAAACGTTTTTCTTTTTTATTTCTATATTCTATTATTCAGACTTATCGATAACTCTAAAGTTACACATGAATGTAAAATATTGTTTTCAAAAATCGAACTCCCGTAGCACTTTGCAACGATCATGATTATGATTACGACTACCTGGTACAGAGAAGCTTAACGGAAATCGAGAATACAGAATATTTCTATATCAAAAAATTTAACGTAAAAAGTTTAAGAGCCAAGCTTGGCTGCAGGCTCAATCGGTATGGATTGAATTTTGGGATTGGGATTATAACATTAGATTAGATTGGAATGTGTGTGAGTGTGAGTGTGTGTATGTGTGTGTGGCAGCATCGAAACTAAGCTTAAGTTAGTTTTGCAGTTACAGGAGTACAGACTAAGGTTAGTACATTAATTTGTGTGTTGGCAATCATAAAGCAAAACAATCTGCGACCATATCATTTCGTTCCGTTATAAAAAAATTCTCTCTCTCTCTCTATTGCACTCGATTCAACCAACGATTTGTCGCCATCTAGCCATCTCTTTCTAATTCGCTTCCATTCTATAACTCTATGTCTAACGCATTCTCTCACTCACACACGCAAGGACACACAAGGACGTACATGGAAATCCCCCCCTTTCAGCTTTAAGGGTCCTAATAACTAATTCGATTAACTATTGTATGAGATTTGCCAATCGTAATGTGATGATAACAAAATTGTGATGATTTTTGTTCGACACTAAGTGTTTTATTTTTTTTTGTAAATATCATAAATATTTTGATTAAATCTTTTTTAAAATGGAAATGAAAAAAAAAGTATATTTTCTGAAAACACTACTCAAAGAACACACATTTAGAGTTTCAAAATTGCATATCAATATTACTGGTAACATTATTTTCCATTTTTCTTTCTTTCAACTGACTTACAAATATTATTCTAAAAGCAATTTTTCTATTATATTATACATATATAAGATTAATTCACGATTTGTGATTTAAAATCTACCAAAAAAAATAAATGTCTTTACGAAATTGTTTTACAAAATCGGAACTCCTAAGCTTTAATAATATCGTCGCTGATTTATCCATCGAGCATTCAATGCCCTGGCCTTGGTGGACTCCCTCTAATAAACTGGGGGGCGGTAAAAAGGATTTCCATGTACCGGCAGTGCATATGTACAGTGCGTTACATAAATGCTTATGTATGTTTTGTATATATCATCTTCTGAATGATTTCATTTCGTTTCGTTTTTTCTTTTTGTGTGTGTATATACTTGTATGCGTTACAAAACCAACAACAATTCCATTTCTCATTTTCACTAAATTGCTTTTTGTCTAAAATATCGCCCCCGTTGCCCCGGCTGAAACCCTTGTGATCCATCATCTCTCTTGATCCTCCTGCCTGTCTGCTAACTTCTCTTTCTTCTTTTCCTCCCTTTCTGAGCCTGATCTTTCCACACTGGACTTACCAGCGCGGGCGTATCTCCTTGAACCACCACTGCTGGTAGCTATCGTTGACATCGCAATGGCCCAATGACAATTGCTGGGTGGCTGGGTGCAGGGCCATGCATTTCTTGTGGACGCGGTGCATCAGGTGCTTTGTATGCTCGTTGTACTGCCATGGACCGTCGACTGTTCCCAGGCGACAAACGGCTAGCTTGATACCCTGCCGATCAGCTTCCACGCAACGCTCACCCACGCCCAATTGTCCAGCAGCATTCAGCCTGACCAATTGGTTATTTCCTCCTCCATGGCAGTATGTCAGTCCCATAATGGCAGGCGGCTGATGACCCATTGAGTCCAGGCATCCATCGGAAGCCACCGAGCGAAGTTCTCCCCAGTGCAGGTTGGCCGGCAGTCCTGGGAACTTGTCATAAACATCGTAAGCGATGTGGTCCATAAACCACTGGAAGCTCTTGCAGTTCAAACGCTTCTTCAGCGCCAGCTGCTCGCTAATATCGCCCATGTCCAAGTATCGGGCCAACGGCTCGCGTGTATAGAAGTACTCCTTGTGCGTATCATCAAACCACGTCTCAATGACGCGCTTGTAGTTGATCGTGATTAGTGGACCCTTCTTCTTGCTAGCCAGCTTGCCGAAATTGTAGGGCATAAAGCCGCGATAGACGTGGCCCACACGTGAGCAAGGCACCCATTCAATACTGCCGCCGCATTGCCAGATCTTAAAGCTTAACTCGAAGTTTTCGCCGCCCCAGACCAGCAGCCCAGGATCATAGGCACCCAGCTCCAGGAAGTACTCCCTATTAATGGCAAACAGTCCGCCGGCGTGGGTGGGACTGCGATAGGGCTCTGAGTTATGCGAACGGCGGCGCTGTTCACGACGCGGTACCTCGTTCTCCTTGTACAGCATTCCCCACTCGAAGATGCCACGGAAATGGTTGTCTGTTCCATAAACAGGACGATACTCAAAGTTCTTGTGATCGATGCCATCGATAATGGGCACAGTCATCACAGTGCGATCCCGGTAAATGGGGGCAAGCATTGGTGGCAGCCAGTTGGTGTTCACTTCGCAATGGGCATCCAGGAAGACGATCACCTCACCTGCGTGGATAATAGATATTAGGGTTTGTTCGGTCTCTGTTTATGAAGGTTTTAAATATGATAATGATGATTTTTGAAGGTCTTAGAACTTTAGAACGAACTGAAACATTCAACAATTTCATTTTTGCATCACATTTGTGATTTCAAGATTAAATGTTAGTCATTTTAATCTAACAAAACGTGGAGTTTTACCAATTGCAATTACAAATGCCAAACGTTCAGCCTTGGATATAAAAGATCTTAAGATAGAAAACGTATTTGACCATTATGGCACGTTCATAGACTATGACTTGGTATGAGATTAGCTTATAATATATTCTGACTCACCAGTAGCCTCCATGGCTCCCCTTGATCGTGTGCGGATAAGACCTTCACGCTCCTTATTCCTAATGACCTTAACCAATCCCTTAAACTGCAGTACATACTCATCCAGCTGGCTGCGAAGGTTTTCCTTATCAGAGAAGTCGTCCACGAGGATAATCTCGTGCAGCATATGGGCGGGTGAACGGTCAATGACCGAATGGACGGTACGCATAAGCACAGAGAAGCCCTCGTTGTGGAAGACAATGATGACACTGGTACTTGGCAGATCATAGGGATAGTCCCAGTGACGGCATTCTTCCAGACGCGTGTCCCGCACCGATCGATGCATCGATATTTCGTCAGAGCAGGCAATGTTCATGCCATACTCCATTTCGGAGGCATCCGACATGTGTTTCTTATCAGGCGACAGGCTATGTGCCTCGCCATTCTCACCAGGTCCACTACGTGGCTTCACATCTTTCGGCTCAAAGTTTCCAAGACCTGGGAATATGTAAAAATTATATGTGAGTGGCGAATGCAAATGCGTGTGTCAGTCTATAGCAATTGTTTAAATATTGGCCTAGCAAATTGTTTGCTTTTGCAAAAGGTATGGAATGTAAATTTAGACTTATACTGGAGGGATCACAAAGCCTACGCGTTTTTCTTGATCTGGGCTATCCATATACTCGATCTTGAACATTTTTTTTTTAATTTTGCTTCTCTATAAAAGTTATTACTACCTATTTATGATATTAATCACCTTTTTTTTGGAACCTATAGAGAAAAATAATTCAGTTTATAAACCGTTTTTTGGGAGTAAATCAGCACAATGCTCCAAAAATGACTGTTTTGTGGGATTCTCTTCTCACTCGTTTTGGGAATTAATGGTTACGGCTATTACAGAGCCGGTTTTGAAGAATGTATAATAGAATTTGTTAAATATATCAGATGGGTTTGTCAGCGAGCTCTGGAATTGACTGTACTATGGGTTGTAGAATGATATTCCCTGTTTTTTGACCTCCTTTACGCAGGATTGATAATGTTAAAGATTATCATGAACGATATATATGGAATATTTTGTTAAAGACATAGAAGACTGAAACTATTTCTGGTTTCCACCATGAAGCTCTTAGATCATTAGATGATTATCTGTATAGATATATTGGATGAAAAAGGGATTATCTGTCTTAAGGATGTATCCTGGTCCACCTCTTTCTAACTAAAACCATAATAATCCAGTTTATAAAGATGCATAACATCAGCTGATCAATTTTTAAAAAGTGAATGCCTATATTATCCTTTATCCTGGTCCACCATTTTACAAATCACTAATAAATACCAAAATATATAATTTTCAAAAGTCACAGTGAAAAATTAGATCTAAAAATGATTTCATTATCCTTAATCCTAGTCCAACTCACCCTCAACTAGCTTGGGCACTTCCCTGGGCCTTCCTTCCAGTCGTTGATGTGAAAACTTTGGTCCGCCAAAGCGCGTGTGATACGCCTCCTGGACGCGTTTATGATGATCACTCCAATTGGCCAGGAGATACAGCAATGGCAACAGTACCAGCAGGCACAATGCCAGCCGGCAGATCCGACCGCTACGGATGGTGCTAACGCGCATCTCTCTCTTTAGAGATTCCAGATTCCAGTTAACAAATTACAAATTTCAAATCTGTTGACGTGTCTAGGTGGCCAGAAAGAAGAAGCACGAGGAGCGCAGTGCGGGGAGCTGGGGGAAGAGTTGGCCAGAAAGCAGAACAGAACAAAAGAACTACTTTCGGTTCGGTTCGTGATTTGCCGCTGATGATGATCAAAGAGCGCCCCGCCGATAATCACAAGTGCCAAGATGAGAAATCCCACTGCTGGTGGCTAAATATCAAAAATACAACTGGAGTCCACCACGTCGTCGGCCGGAGGGCTACGTAAACTTGCAGCAATTTGCCGGCGAAAAAGCGCCGCTGGCACAGAACAAATTGCGAGTGCAGGTGCACGAATAATCGCGGTGCAAACGTAAACAAAAAATGGTAGAAAACGATGTTCAACTGGTAAAAACGCGTTTTGAGGTTTTTAGTTGATGTGCAGGCGTTAGCCCAAAAAAAGTCATAACAAACGATTGGTAGTTTGGCTGATTGACCGATAACAGTGGTGGGTTGGTGAAAAAATAAATAAACATGTAAGAAAGTTAAATAAGAAGTTATAACGATTACTAAGAAGTATACACAAAAGCTTGCTGTTTTAAGGTAACTATTTAAACTACTTCTGCCTAATATATAAAGCATTTTGAATGTATTTGGCGCTGCGCAATTTAACATTGCATAGCCGTTATCGATAACGGTTTTAATCGATATTTGTTTTTCTTTATTTTAGGCGCAATTTTGGTTAAATTTTAATAATATATTTTATAATATGGCGCCGTCTCCATTGCACTCCGCCGTATTTGGGACTGGCGGCATTGATCTGGACAGTCTGGTGGAGATCTCTGGACCCGGGGACAGCGGCAAGAGCCTGGTTCTCCAGCATTTGCTGGCCCACTGTTTGGCGCCTTATGACTTCGGTGGCCGCCAGTGGGGCGTCATCCTAATTAATCTGAGCCATAAAATCAAGCGGGAATCTCTGATAAAGATTATAAAATTAGAGTTAAAAGCATATTCTGTTGCAGAAGGAACAAGTGAATCCCAGACAGAGGAGCAGCTGGCCAAGATTGCCGAGGAATGTTTGGGTCGCGTTCAATTCCTCAATTGTTTCTCCCACGATGATGTATCTGTTGCTCTGGTCGATGCCCGCTATGCTATCCTCAACGATCCTGGCCTGCAACTGATTGCAGTGGATACACTAAGCGAATTCTACTGGCTGGACATGTACAAGAAACCCGAGTTGGTTTCCATGTTTCAGCACTATCAGCATTGCCTAATGCGTCTAGGGAAGACCTGTAAGGAGGCTGTTGTATGCGGAATGTATACAGTGGACTCGAATTCCCTGGAGGATCGAAATGGTGAAGAACTACCGGATCTTAAAATAAGCCACCATGTCAGGATGCGGAAGGATGAAGGAGTGATCTCTATGAATGGACTGCCACTGGCCTTTAGTAATGGGGCTCATGTAGATTCTCGTACATAGCTAAGCAAGTAAGCAGAGTTACTTACTGTTTTGTATAAACTACTAACTAAGTCCAGGAATGTAACTACTAATTATGACTAAAAAGTACAAAGATTTACTCGAAAGAGTTACTTTTTCATATAGAAATACTATGTCTATAAGGACATCTCGGAAGCTGTTAACTGTTAAGTTATAGATTGTACCAGGGATATTTATAGATAGATAACTCTTAAGTATCACTAGCCTTTATGATATTATAAAACAAATCCTTTAGATTAGAATCCGAAACTCTTCAAGCTAGAGTAATAAGATGTCTTAAAGAACAAACTTTCTAAAACCAATTAAGAAACTTAAAAATAACCCACGATTATCATGATGAAAATACCTAAAAGTAATTTAAAATTGAATTTATTTCGATAATCATCAAGTCAGATAGGTATTATATCAGATCCCCTTTTGATATATCCCTTGATAATCCATTTTTTTCTTAACAAAAAGATTTCGGGAACCAGATTTTAAAGCTAAAAGTAGATTAGTGGAATGAACCCACTGAAAGTTAATAAGAAAAGCTCGCTTTTGTGACTTATTCCATTCAGTAATATATTTAATATTATATATCAGTAATATTATCTTAATTAAAAAAAATACAACAGTTCTTTAAAATTGTGTTGAAACCTTCACTATGTTCTTTTTTTGTTTTTCAGAAGGCCAACCCTACCAGAATTATACTTAAAACTAATGATTTCTAAAAGCTATACATAAGTAAGGTGGTTTTTTGTTTAGCAGTTTTTTTTTTCCATTTCTTTTCTTAGCATTTTAAGAAGCAATTTGTGTGTGTGTTTTTTTTTAGGTTTTTGTTTTGTTTTTTTTTTTTTGTGTTTTGCAATTTAAGAGAGGGGGGATTGAATTTATTTTGGTAGTGCTTAAAAGCCGGTAAATTAGTTGAAATTATTAAATACAATCATTAATTTAAATGTAATTTGTTTTCAATAAATAATTAATTGTTTAAATACGATTATTCCTTTCATGGCTTAGTCACAAACATTAAGACATTTGAATTTCAACGCTCTAATCACTCTCTTTCTATTTACATGTGTGTTCCTCGAGTACCTTTGTACAAACCTCACATTTAACCTGGCAACACCAGTGAAATTTGCAATTACAGCGTTCGTTAACTATAATGTTCTTTGTATTATAGCCCCGGCCGCAGCACAATATGGCACAGCTTTCCAATCCCGAGGAGTTTTTATGACACACACGTCCGTGTGTTCCAGGCCAATGCAGCGCGTAGCTATTCCGACACCAATCTGGACTTTCATCCAAGTAAATCAGATCATGAGCGGTTGGTACCTTAAATTGCAAATCCTTAATCTGCAGACGTCCACGTTTATTGATCTTCACCTTGGTGGCACCCTCGTATTTCTCCCTCAGATAGTCACCAATCTCACGGATCGAGGATAATTGCTGCCAGCATGTAATCAGGCTACAAGATCCTGAAACACCATGACATTTACAGGTTATGCGTGCCTTCTTAATTACGGCCCGACGTCCGGCCTCGTTATTGTGCAAATTCATCAAACTGCGAGCCTTTATAGTGGCCGAGCTGCGTGGCAGGATGCCATCTTTGTAGTTATCCTTAATACCATTCCTGGGAAATGCTGGAGCATCGGCGGCAGCACGTTGATTTTTTCGTTTCTTCTTGCGCGGCTGTTGATCGCCCTTAAAGAACTTGGTATTGACGATCTCCTGCTTGATCTTCTCCTGTAACTTAATCATCTCCTCTTCATCGATTTTAGATGTTAGGATCTCCTTGGTGATGCGCTGCTCCAGTTCCAATAAATGCTGATCGAAGTTCTCGTTAAGTAAGTGACTGTTATCAGCCTCAGTGCTTTTTCTAACATTTCGTACTATCATCGTGTTTGTATCATTTTTAACATCTACATTTCTATTTCTTTTGTTACCTACATTAAAAGCATTCGTATCATCCGAATGCATACGATTCTTATTGATCTCTTCGCGTTTTCTCTTAACGCCGCGAGTCTCTCGATTAGTTTCCTTCTCACGGGAATCTATAAAGTCTGTGGCAAATTTATAGGCAAATTCTAGATTATCACCACAGCCGCCCCATTTCCAATCGTCATGTAGCTGCTTGGGTCTTGTACCACGAGAGCAACTGCACGATGCCAATTGACCATCACGGCAGGCTCTGGCTATAAAGCTGGTCACCGTTGCCGCTGCCAAAGCATGAATGAAGGCCATTTCGGGTGCTGCTAGGCTTGTCATTGGACCAAAAACGGTTTCATCATTCGTTGTACTACAGTTCCAGCGTCGATTCTTGAACTGAAATTGACATTCTTGGATGGCAGCGCGTGCACCGCGACTTATTGCTGGCATAACACTAGTATGCTTAACACATTGCTTCTTTTGGCTATTGCTAAGGCCTATTGCGCTATAGCAGTTATTTGGATTAAGATCGATTGTCTCCGAATATGCATCTGCAGTTGGAGCTGTGTCATTGTGATGATCAGATGATGATGATGATAATGATGATGCTCCTCCTCCATGTTCTTCCATATTCTTGATAAGGAAATCCCTATCACTGCCAATAACATCTGCAGATGCCATCACAACATCGTGTTTAAAGTAATCCGTTAAGGATTTATTCTCCATCGATACCTTAATATAGTCTGGCGGCATTAGTTTTCTACTATTACTATTGCTATTGCTACTGCTGCTGCTGCTACTGCTGCTGCTGCTGCTACTGCTGCTACTGCTGCTGCTGATGCTGCTGAAGCTACCACTGGATGATGGTGAGCGTTCAACTCGCGAGAGAAGCTCACCATCGGATCCCTCAGCAGATACTTTAAAAGAGTCTGGTATCTCGATGGATACAGCAAATCTCTTCGTATTATTTATTGTTTGTATGATAGGCTCGAAACGAGGCTGCATATATTGCGACTGACCTCGGAACCATTCATCACGTTCCCGTTGCCTTTGTTGCTCCTCTCGACGACGTTGACGTATACATTTCGGTGACTCGGGGTTACGTAGACATGGCGGACGTTTTGTTGTGCGTAGCGGTGTACCTAGTTTTGGTTGGTTTATCGCCGGATTACGATCCGGTTCTAGCGAGGCATCTGGCATCATTGTCGACATCGTCTCGTTCAATAGTATCACCTGAGGCTCACTTGGTGTTTTCTGTCTACGATTATTGTTTGCCGCCGTCGCAGCACTTGAGGAGGTGTCAGTATCTGTTGGTTTAAGAAAGGATTGATTATTGGCTAATTCCTCGTTCTGATAGTAACCACCAATAGGTTGTTCGCCTGGGCTGTTATATGGTCCACCTCCATCCGGAACCTTTGGTGTTGGCGGGGCAATGGGTGCGGAATACTGATGAATCGGTCGCTGTGGACGTTTCACATTCGTTGGCAGGCCACCGGATGATGTCTTTGCCTTGTCCTTTTGCAGACTTGGGAACTTAACAAACTTTGATTCAAAGTTTGAATTGGTTTTTGTCATATTATGTAAAAATAGTATATGTTTTTTTAGATCATCGATATTAGAGGTTGGATCGCCCTCAATCTGGGCCATTGGCGATGGCAGAACAGTTGTTGTGGCTTTAACATTTGGTAGCGATGAGGAGGGATTCGGTGTGGTAACAACCCAACGTGGATCGGGTGATATATTCTTTAATGCCATTGGGACAATAAATTTACGATCTTCATCTGTCAAACTGGCTGGCAGGCCATTCTCATCGGTATCCTCGTCAAGGAGTATTATCTGCTTTTGATCCATTTCCTCTTGTATTGGATGTATTGGGCGAGTGGTGATATTGTTGTTTGGTGAATCGAATACCAGTCTTTTGGTGAGATCGGCCTTAACGAAGCCAGTCTCTGAGTCTCTCAGATCCACTGGCTTTATAAACGTGCCCAGCTTACGTAGTCCCTCCTGATGCATATTAGCCTGTTCATCTTTTGTTATATTCAATGGTATACTGGAGTTGGCTAATTGTTCAATTTGATTGCCAAATTCAATAAATGGTGACTTGAGGCCAAGGTATATCCATGTCGGCACTCCTTGTAGTCCAACTGTGGCATATGCCCGTTGTGGTGTTAAATGCAGCATACATATTGCACGCAATAGCCACAATAGAAAGTGTTTCTTTCTGAAGCAAATCATTATGATTATTATTTATATTATTTATGCTTCTGTTGATTATTATTATTCCTCTTCAGCTGATGATGATAATGATGTTGAGTGAGAGAGTGTGTGCGTGTTTGTGTGTTTGTGTGTGTGTGTGTGTGTAAGAGAGGGAAGGGGGATTTAGGATGTGAATGAAAAATGAAAAATGTTTTTCGATAACACCACTAAGAAAATCGATTGACTGTTTAAAATTTCCTTTAAGTCCATGAATATATTGTAAAATATTTGTGATTAGCTGCTTGCTATTGGCTTCCAGTTCATGCGCTCGCTGAGAATTTGTAAAATAACAAAATGAGAACTGGATTTGTGCATAGTATGTATGTATACAATCAACCACAACCACAACCGCATCATGCACGAAACGAAACTCGCGACGAACTAATCCACCCTCAACGACAAATTGTAAACAACTGAGCTGAAGAACTCGTTCGGCATTTAAGTCTTTCGTGGTAACAAACGCAGTCGAAAATGTTGCGCTCGCCAGCTCTGGCAACGGCTGGCAACGGCGACCAACCACCGGACCCACCACCACCAACATGTTGCAGACGACGATGACGGCGGCGCGACCAGTGACTATTCTTATTACTAAAGTCATTACATGGGTAAGCAATGTTCTTCCACTATTTATCGTATATTACAGTTATTTTTTTTTTAACTTAAATGTTATTTGGAAAGGAAGCTGGGATTTGGTAGCTTTTTTTTACAGTAACGATTAACCAGTATCTTTAAAATGTAGGGAAAATATAACTGTAAAATAATAAAAGATCTGATTAATGATATAGAAAATTGTTACTAAGTTCATTTTTGGCTTTTAAACTAAAATATTTAATGTAAAAAATGCAAATAATATCAGACATAGGTTATAATATGTCTTTGCAGTCTCGAAATATTCTATATTTTCCAAAAAACCTTCCAAAAATTGACTTTTTGTACCCTAAACAAGCCTTTCCTTTAACCCTTGCACCTTAACCAGATTCCTAAAAACTAAAACTTCTTTAATAAATATTCAAAAATTAAATTAAATTCACACCATTTACCAAATTACAGTATCAAAAACGTAAATTCATTTATTTGGCTATATTTTGGCAATTCACAGCCTATTATTTACATAAAAAGAATTTTCGAAGACACTCTCTATTCGAAATACTGTTTAACAAATATTTACAGGGTATTTTCTTTTTTTTTTTTCCACTTGTGCAACTTACGTACTAAGTTAAATAAATAAAATCACGGATTTCAAATAGGGATATCCCCAATTCTAATGCTGCATCTTGTTGGTTCTGGCCAATGTTAATGAACTGCCAATGCGACGGCGATCGAAGAATGGCTCTGGCTCTTCCAATGCACCAATGGCCGTGACTGCAGCAAAACTGGAACCAGCTGGCTCTTCGTATAGGACATGGCCAACCTCTTGCAGAAAGGAGGTAATAGTACTATCCACCTCATGTTCATAGCTCACACGCATAGGAGCCAACTGGTGGTGCAAACGTCCATTGTTCACCGCTGCCGAAAGGCTTTCTCCACGTAGCAGGTACTTTATAATCACCTGAAAGATTAACAATGAACGAAATTAAATAATTATCTTCAGGAAAGCGGAACTAAAGCCTAAAAAATACTTACAGCTGCCACACTGGTGGTAATGCGAGTGCCACCTGCTGCTCCAACTAGCAGACGAACATTTCCATCGTTATCCACAATGATGGCTGGACTCATAGATGACATGGGACGTTTGCCGGGATAAATATAATTAGCCGGAGAGGCTGGCACACCAAAGCCATTGATCACGCCCGGAGTGGAGAAGTCATCCATCTCGTCGTTTAGGATGATGCCAGTACGCGTGGAGGCCACCTTGGAGCCAAAACTAAGGGTGAGGGAAAAGCAATGATAGCTTAATACATAATAACATAGTTTTTATTCATAAAATTATAATATATTTAAGAAATATCTACAAAACCGCGAATTCGTCATCTTAAATTTTCCCTAACCCTATCTTAGACTCAAACCAGATTTCTTAGTATATTTTTGGTATTTACCACTATTTAAACCGCTATTGTTGCACAAATACAAACGATTTTTATTTTCAAAGGTTTAAATTTTCTTTAAAAAATTCCATATAAATTATTAAAATTGCTTACAACTGGATAAAAAAAACGAAATAACTTGCAATAAATTGGAATACCCTTGATAAATGAAAGTTTTAGCTACTTTCGTTAAAAATCAACAACTTCGTTAGAGTTTAAGAGTACATTTCTCCAGCAAGGTGGAAATCAAGATTTGTTTCCCCTGTTTTTCAAATGTTCAATCGAACCTTCAATTCAAAAGCATGGTGGATAAAAGAGAATGTTAATATATGTATGTGCCACAGCATACTTGCAACGCATTTTTGTTTTTTGGAGAGAGAACTCTCACCACTGTTGCTGTTCCCTCGCACATGTTGGATATGGTGAAAAGTGTCATTTAGCTTCCAACATGGCTCTCACCAGAGGTTGCGCACAGGTTCGGGCACACCAAATGGTGTTTTATGCACAGAGAAAAATCATTAATATGATATTCTGAGTTTTTAGTTAGTTAGTCTAGTTAAAAACTAAAAAAATTAATAAGATAATGTAGATAACTTTTGAATTTTTGCATCAGCAAAAGTTCTTATTTTGATCTAACTGAAACCCCGAAAAATCTAGTAAATTTAAAAAATTAATAAAAAAAATTTCTTTACTTACTAGTTATTAATAGTACTGGTAATGGAAACGGCATCACCATTAGTGGCCAATACATTCATATGGGCAGTACCATGATCTTCCTCTACCGTAAAATTAGCGCCATAGTAAAGATAATCCTGTGAGGTGCTATCATCGTGGATCAATTTCCTTATGCTATCCAAGAATTCCGGCTTAAGCATCTGCTCCAGCGTGGCATTGATGGATGGACCGTTATCGGGATCGGCATATAGATCACCCAGATTTGTCCTCTGACCATAGGCATGTTTAAAAGTCTCCACAGCTCGTTGCCAATAGACCTGTTCATCGTCCGTATTCAGTTCAGCCATTACATTGAGGATAAAGGCCAAAACCGGTCCACTGCTGGGCATGGGTGTGGAGTATAACGTATATCTGCCACTTACATTTGCGGCAACGTGTCCATCGCTATCCCAACGAACCTTAAAGTCACGCAGATCCTGCTCTGTGATAATGCCACCCATCTTCTGGATATCTTCGACGAACATTTTACCAGTCTCACCGCCATCGTATATCTCCTTGGCTCCATTCTCGGCAATCCTCTCCAGAGTATCGGCCAGAGCTGGACGCTTTATATATTCACCTTCGATGAAGGGTTCCTGGTTTTCGTTGAGGAACACAGCGGATAGCCCAGGATCCGCCTCGATATTTTCCAGTTTCGATTGGATAGCAGAGGCAAGGTAGCGGGAAACTACATGACCCTCGCGGGCCAACTTAATGGCCGGCTGAAAGAGACGTTTCCAGGGCAGAACGCCATAGCGACGATGCATCTCCCAGTAGCCCAAGATCTCGCCAGGCACACCTCCCGCCTTGGCGCCCGTTATCTCTGACTGGCCCACGAACATGTCCTTGTGGGCAGCCGCCGGAGCCGATTCCCTGGCAATCAAAGTCTCCACTTTCCGGGTACTTCTCGTATAAATGGTGGCCACAAAGCCACCGCCAATGCCCATGGAATGGGGCAACAGTAGACCCTCGCACAGGAGGGTAGCAATAGATGCATCTACAGCGGAACCGCCATCAGTCAGAACATCACCACCCACGGCCGCACAGCCAATACCATTGGATACCACGGCTCCACTGATGTACCTCGAATCCCGATTCTTTAAGCCAAAGACCAAGCCCAATGTCAGGGCCGTCACCATAATGGCAGCCAGTAACAGCCATAAGAGAAGCTTCTTACTCAACGCGAATCTGAAAGAGTAAACAGTATCAGGGGATCAGTTATCGATCATCGATCATCAATCATCAACCAACTGCGATCTGCGATCGTCATTAGACCCTCGAGACTGAAGAGCTCGAGGACCTGGTCGAGTGGAGCGGTGGCGGCGCTGGCGATTAGCTTTGATTTAGACGCCGCTATCAGAACTTGGCCAAAATGCCAAGTCATGCGATTGCAGGCAGCCCCGAAATGGGTAATACCCTACTATATTTAAACGTCTTTATCGATAAGTTATTTATATACTCAAAAAAACAAGGGTGTCTTTGATACTTTAAGGTGAAAAAACTTCCACCAAACTTCATACAATTTAGTTTCCATTTTTGAATTTTACACAAGTGAAGTCACATTGTTATTAAAACTAAACAAAATAGCCAACTAAAACAATGATGATAGTTCCAAAGTAAACTATAGATCTATTTGATCGATATCAAATATCGATTATCTTTAATCTTTATCGATTAATATCCCAGCTATGAACTATAACAGATTTGTATAGATAGGAAATCCATAAGAATGATTACTTAAGAGTTATCATTACGTTTCGTAAGGTAAACAAAGAATGGATAAGATTACCACTAAGACCTTTCTATAGACCAATTTTTATCTACCAATTTTGATAGCCAAGGACTGTGTAATCTTTGGCCATTAAAGTCCAGTTAAATCAAATTAGCCGAATCATTGCGATCGATCTATCTGGAAACGAGTTGAATGAATGAAAACAACTATCTTAAGATTTCAGTAGCTCCCTCTCTCCTATCTCTGGGAAATCCGAATGAATGATTGCCTTGGGTCTCTGGAGTGTCCCATGACAAAGGGATTTTTAGTGTAATGTCCCCGCCATATGTGGTAATGTCCACGTACTGGATGAGTCCATGCACATACCTTCTGGCCAAAGAGAGTGCTTATCTCTATTTAGAGTATTTCTTTGATAACAAGCAATGATCATAAAAATGCCAGAAACCGGAGATCATAAAAACTCGAGCGCTATTAACAAGCAATTTTCTATAATTAACGTAGATTTATCATGGGGGAAAGTCGTTTAGTGCCCGTCATGGCCAAAAAACGCGTCCTAGCTAGCTTAGCCCAGCCATACGTGATCACAAATATTTCCATCTTGATATGGTACAATCGATCGATCGATCGATACGATAGATTATCGCTTCACCACCCGTCTGCAGATTAAGATCCTCGAGGGGCACTTTCTACTGTTTTTTTTTTTTGCCAACTCATTCTTAAGAGTTTAAACCAACTTGATCTGCATATTTTATGGTATATGCGAGTACAACGATAAGATATTCACTTCATTCAAGTTCTCGTGAATGCCCTTACGATAGTTTATATACTCTATATACTACTATATATGTATATTTGTGGATTTTATGACATTTCGGTAGCATTCTAATGCCTCCAATTGATCGGGCACCGCCAACAGGTGGTTTTAATTGCTGATTGGTCCTGCGATAAGCCACTTTGGCGGTTGGGATTAAAGCTAGCTAGCTAGCTACCTATTATCCGTCTTTATCAAAATGGACTTTTTTTTTTTTTGGAATGTCAAATGCCAAAGTCAAAAAACTGTAAACATTTTATGAGGTGGGATGGATGGATGGTCTTTGAACCAAAAGAGCAGGAATATAAAAGGAAAAAATTCCGGAAAAATGAAATATAATTATTGAGTATGAGGCACTTGATTATGAAGCGGTCTTTAAACAACTGATAAAAAGTGATCAAAATGTTTACGGAACTCAAGTGGTTGCTATTATATGGTTAAGTACTTGAGGGGGATATAGTGTAAGGTTTGCAAGAACAGGATAAATAGGGTGATCTTTTGAGAAGAATATCTTTTGGTTTGCTTAAACTATTTTTGAAGAGATCACTCTTTTGGGATGTCCTATGATAAGATACTTTATAATCTTTTCTAGAAACTTTTTTTAGATCTTTCATTAGAAGGGACTAGCTTTGGAAAAGAGGATAAATAGGGTGATCTGTTAAGAAGAACATCTTTTGGTTACCTTTATAAACTATTTTTGAAGATATCACTCTTTCTGGTTGTCCTGTGATAGGATCATTTATGATATGTTTTAGTAACTTCTTCTAGATCTATCTTTGAAAGTGACTAGGTTTGGAAAAGAGGATACATAGGGTGCTTTTTGAAAAAGAACATCTTTTGGTAAACTTAATAAACTATTTTTAAAGAGATCACACTTTCTGTATGTCCTATATTAAGATACTTCATGATCTTTCCTAGTAATTGAAAAAGTAACTTCTTTCAGATCTATTTTTGATTTTGACGACTAGCTTTGGAAAACAGGATGATCTCTTAAAAAGAACATCTTTTGACTACCTTAACGAACAAATTTTAAAGTGATCACTCTTTCTGGTTGCCTTATGATAAGATATTTTATGATCTTATCTATTAATTGAAAAAGTAACATCTTTTAGATCTATTTTTGGAAGCAGGATAAACAGGGTGATCTTTCTTTTGGTTACCCTAATGACATATATGTAAAGTGATCACTTATAGAACTTTCTGGATGCCCTATGATAAGTTACTATATGATCTTTTGGTATACAGAATACTAACATCTTTCACTTACAGAATCTCTCAGTGGAAGCTGCAAGCTGTTTTGGAAATCGGGATAAATAGGGAGTCCAAGGGAGTACAAGGGAGTACAAGGGAGTACAAGGGAGTACAAGAAAGTACAAAGGAGTACAAGGGACTAATAATAAACCACTTCCAAAATGATCACAAAAAAACCACCTTCCGGATGCTCTATGATAAGATACCAACTATGATCTCCTCTTGGTATGTGGAATGGAGACATCTTTTAATTACAGAATCGCTAAAGAGATCGCTGCTACGACAGGTAAACACTTTTAATCACAAAAAAACAAGAAAAACCCATTTCTATTTATCAGTCTCTTCCAGACCGCATATATGCCCAGTCATTGGAATCGAATCGTGTGTCTGCCTTGGAGCTCGAAGATAAGTCTTGTGACGTTTTTAACAGAGAGGAAGAACGAAAGTCATCCTTGGCTGATTGGGTGAGGTGGGAAATTAAGTACAATACCTAGCGATAGAACCCCATACAGATGCGATATACACGGTCATTCCCAAACGTTAATTGTGCTGTGATTTCCATGAATTATGCATATTTATATATATATATATAGTAGATGATGGAGCAGAGAGAAGCTTGAGGAGGGGACCTTACTCGATGAGAAACCAGTTTCTAACGCGTCATCTATTTAGCGTCCATCGAAATTAGCTAACAAATCATTCAACTAATCGTTGCATTACTCCTGTATTTTTGGGTGGGGGGTCCCCGCCTACCCTTATAAAAATTTTTTGGCATGTGGTATTATTATTCCAATCTTATCGCTTGCATATCCATAAAGCCTGTCAATGATCCAAACTGAATGAACTGGTCCCTAAGAATTCCCATTTAGTCTTAAGGCAGTCATAAACTTCATTCGCCTTATAACCGGCCATATCTCAGTTGGGTACTATATCTTATGATGTGTCGTAAAAAGGGGCAATCAAGTGTTAAACCTGCTAATTACCGACTTTCGACAAGTTTTGATAAACTTCGGGCTAAAGAATAGGAACTTTGTAGAGCTCTCTCTCTGTTGGTTACCTATTAAATGACGCATTTTGGGATCCTCAGATTAAAGCCACAGTGGCAGTCACATTATTAGCAATTCTAAATTCAAGACAAATACAAAACAAGATATGATCTTATAGACCAATTCAAATCACATAATAACTACTATAAAAAAATATTTAATAATATCGTGCGAAAAGTTAAGCTGCTAATTGACATATTTGTTGTTTGATATATCTTATCTGACACGATCTAGGCGGGGGGTGTCTTAACCGATGTTTTTTAAATGTACTCTGACTTGCAAAAAACAAAATCTATATAATGGGGCAAGTAAATTACAAAGCAAACAGATAAAAAAAACTGAATGGTTTTTTAACAACCAATGTTTTTTTGTTTTTCTGTTGTTTTTCTTTTAACACTGTGCTGTACGTCAAGTGCTTAATGTGAGAAAATAATGTGTTTTAGTTGATTTTTGTTAGACATTTGATATTTACACAAGTGGAACTAAAATAATTTATCGCTTCTGTGACTATTTTTCTTCTTAGTAAAAATGTGTAAAATGTTTGACATTAACTAGCTGGCGGAACTAAAACTGATTTCTCTTTTTATTTGTTTACTTTTTTTTTTTTGGAATTTCAAAGTTTTGCACTAATTTTTTGTCATTTATTGTATATGAAATATACTTTGTGACTTTTAATATTTATATTAATTTTATTTGTTCTAGCCTCGCTTGATATTTACAACAAAAGAAATGAGAATTTTCACAGTTGGCAGATTTTAATTGCTATGGTTGGCATTTGATATTCGATATAGGTTATTAAATTAATGATATACGGGGTGGACTTTTGTAAGACGAACTTTGGAATGTGATATTTGTTGAAGAAATATTGTCATCGTTTTCAGTTTTTTTTCTTAGAATTACTTTTGATTTTTAAGTATTTATAAATTTTTAAAGTCTTTGGTCTTAGTTCCTTTTACAGAAGTCCAACTGTAGTATCTCCCGTTGTTTTATTTTTTTTTACCATTCTTACCTCATTTTACGTGATTGCTTTGCCGGATTTTGTTATATATATTTACAGAGTTATTTAATGTTTTGAAATTGGAAAATGGCAAAAACTTGAAAGCCTTGGCCACAAAACACAGAAACACCAAAAAACAAAAGACTTGGACTTGGACTTGGAGACGGCACGGTAAAATATAAAAAAAAAACAATATGTACAACAGAGTAAAGAAGTGCTCTGTGTGTTTTTCTTCTTCGAATAAAAAATGAAATTTAAAATTGATATTCCGCTTGATTCCAGCAGCTCCCGCCTGCGAGCACCTGTTGCGATCGACTGATGGCATTAATCCGTCCAAGTCGCCGAACATCGACTCTCTTTCGATGCCTAACTGTATATTTCCCTGCACACGACCCATTGAAAGAGCGAAAGAGATAGTCACCGGGTAGCGGTGGTAGAAAGAGCGATAGTGGCAGCGTCAGAGAAACGAAACAAAACGATCGGCTTTGAGCTTGACCGCCAAAGCTCGGGCGGCACAGCTATGTACATAGGTAAGGTATAGGCTAGGGTGACGCAATGGCTGTGCGTGCATTGTCATTGGCAAAGCTGTTATGCCTAAAATTGGCAAGCAATAGAATATCGATATGCCAATATCGTATCGATTTTGTGTTATAAATATCGAAAATATATGGTAAAGTTTAGATTTCTTGTTAATCCTTTAACTTGAAATAATCCTTAGAATAAAGGATTTTTCTGTATTTTTATTTTGTAGATTTTTATTTCTAACTTTTTGGTTATTTTTTGATATTTTTATGTATTTTTAATCGATTTTTATAGGCCAACGTCGATCTATACATCGTACTAAAGGTATTAAATTAACTTACATAACTTATATTTTATGTAACACTAAGTTTACATCTTTATTTTTAGATACAATGCAATGTTCAAGTAATGTCTTATCATCTTTCAAAGGTTTACCCATTTGAGCTTTAACCTCAATGGACTAATACTTAGATTCAGGTCAGTCTCACGTTTTCCTACTAAATATAACAATACATCAGGGTCATGGCAAAACTATATTTACTACATTCATTACTGACTAGATATACATTTAATTTCCGCGCTTGGTTTACATTTAATCAAAATATAATACGTTCTAGCAGCAGCCATTCTAGACTACATCCATGTCTTGGGGACTCTTAATTTAGTTCAAGATTAGCCGAAATAAATTGAGTAAGACTATTCAACGCCAGTGTGCTTGGGTCTTCAAAAATAAATAAATCTTCTAATCTGTAGCTTAATTGCATATCTAAACTATACTGATCCTTGGAAGCATGCGTTGGTTCTGTACGGCAGAGTCATCTGTTCAGGATTAGCGCCATCTCTCTTGCGACGCCGATGCCTGTATGATGGTCTTGTGGAGTTGCTGCTGTTGCGTCAATGTATTCTTCGTGGAAATGGTTCCCTGATTGCGATGAGAATTCTGGGCACGCTGGAAGCTAGGCAGCGGTGCCTTCTTCTCGTGGGCCAGCTCCGTGTAGGCCAGCTTCCGGCGCTGTTGAGGCGGAATCTTCTTGCAGTAGGACAACAGATGGATATGGAGAGTGCGTTCGAGATCAAATTTGCGATCACAGAACTTGCACAAATTGGCAGCAGTCAGGGTGGTGCTACTCTCCCTTTTTGTCCTTCGTCCCCGGAAGCGCACCTTGAAGTCATCGTCGTGGGTGCGACGATGGGCACCCAACAGTGATCGAATGTGGAATTTGGCCCCACAGATGCCGCACGAATAGCTGGGCATGTGATGATGATTCTGGGCATAGCTGCTCAATGGCTTTAGCTGCAGTCGCCCGAAGTCTTCCTCCACAATCTCTTTGCCATCCATCGTAAGGAAACCTTTCTTCATCGTTCCGCTAGGAGTTCTCTGGGCGGCCGTAAGAGCAGCTATTTCCGCCGCCTCGGCCTCGTAGTCTCTCGGAGTTAGACCATTGCGACGAGGGGACTCCAGGTATACTGTTGGAGAAGGTAGAAGTTTGGGTGAGTACTCTTTTCTTAAGCTCCGGAATATATCATATTACATACTATTGTATCCCCCACGCATACGATTTTCAAACTTGTAGACCTTTTCCTGCAGTGTTTCCTCCTCGTCGAAAACCATTTCTTTAACTGGTGCCAGAGCCGGTTGCTTTTTAGTGTGCTTGCGACGGTGTCCTCCATGACCAGCTGTGCCACCGTCTGATGCATCAGCCTTTCCAGCTCCACCACCGCCTGCTCCACCGCTGCCTGCTCCACCGCTGCCTGCTTTTTTGCCTCCCTCTGCATTGCCTTCTGATGAACCATTTACTGTTTCACCACTTACTTTTTTCCCGCCTCTGATTTGCTTTCCCGGACAAGAAGGAGCATTCCCTCGATTTGACTCGGACAGGTAAATCAGCTTGCGCTCCACCGCCTTGCGGGCATTCTCCACCTCCGACTCCACCAAGTCCTGCGGCTGAGTCCTGGAACGGGAGTGGCGCTTGCCGCGCTTCACCTTTGTTGGCTTCTGAGACTTATTCATATCAAATGTGTGTTTTATGTTTTTTTTTCGTAGCTTCAGCTCGATGTCAATCGGTGTAAAACAAATTCAAATTCAAAACTGAATCGTAAATGTAGAGTCCTGGAATGAAATAAAGAACGTAGTTTGCTGGGTAAGTATGATGTGAAAGAAAACACTCACTACTTAATTATTACTTAATTTTAGTATTTTTTAAGTTAATAACTAAGAAATAAGTTTAAACGACTAAAAAGTTACTTTAATGTTATTAACATTAACATTATGGCAAGTAAACAAGTCAAGAGCTTGTCCACGGTTCGTGTCCGCGATAATGCGTATCTTGAAAGCCAAGTTCTTGTCCATGGCAAGTGTCTGTGATAATTGGTATTAACAGTTAACATTACGAACGGTCACATTGACCACCGCGTGCAGTGAATTTTTTTTGGCCAGCAGCGCAGAAAAAGCAGCTGAAAACTGGAAAAGACAGCATAATAAATCGTCGTGCCGAGACAATTGAAACGCGCGCCCGCCATTTAACGAGGATTGTCAATAGTGTTTGCCGTTTTTCATTTGTTGGCCACCGATTCCGGAATATGAGTGATACGCGTGAGCAGATTCTGGAGCAAATCAAAGTGCAAGGCGATCTCGTCCGACAATTGAAGGCAGCGAAGGAGTCAAAGGAAAAGGTCAGTTTTTCTTTAGTCACCACTTCCAATTAGTTTGCCCCATCCATTAGCCAGCTAGCCTCCTCCCGTCCCGGGCCATTTTCCAGTGTGCCCTCCCCCTTTGTGTGTGTACAATGAAACAAGTGCAATTTGTTACTGTAATTTTTGGCCCTGCTTTCGTCATCAAATCATTTTCGACAAAATCCCATTCACATATTTCATCAGATTCAACATTAAAAAAAAAAAAGCAACTTAAATGAAAACAATGCCATGCTGCGCTGGCATTTGGATTTCTTTTCAATTTAGCAGTGTAATTAGATTGAAATGCAACAACAGAAGAGCAGTGCAAAAGGAAAAAAGGAAAATTAAAAGAGCGCGCAGACTTTCACATTTACATTCGCACATTCGTGCCACTCTGTTGTTATTGTTGTCTCGCTCTGTCCAAAGGCAATTGCACAGCTTCTATTTGCGTTGGTGTGCAAGTTTGTTCTAAGCAGTAATGCCAACAATCGCTTAAAGTTTGCGGCTAAAAAAAAGCTAAAACCAAACTAAAATATAAATTTACAAATTAAAAATTTCATTTAAATTTCAGAAATTTTATCTCTAAAAAAAGCCATTTTATATTGTATCTATTTATTATTGTTTAGGATTTATTATCCCAAAACTATTAAAAAATGATCTTTCCTATTAGCATTCAGTTAATTGGAAAACATTAATTTTATTGTAAATAAGACCTTATCTTCCAATACGAATATGCCAATTGGCTTAGATGTTTATTCCACTTCTCAGCTTATTCCTAACTAGAGTATATAATTGGGTATATGCAAAAAGCCAATTTTATCTAATAAATAGCTGGGGGTGTCAGCACTGTGTGTGTGTTCTATGACCGACTGACTGACTAAAAGAAAGAGAGGATAAAGACTAAGAGAGGCGACTGGTCAAACAGGAGGCATGTACAAAAGGCACATGGTGGTTATAGCGATTATATCAAAAACCTGCTAGACAACTATCAGCCGATCCGAGCTATAGCAACTGCAACATGTGATTTGGGCAATAAGGAATTCAAAAGTTAATGGCTTACCTCCAATTGCATTTTAAAATGCTCATAAATATCTTCTTCTTCAAATATCTTTAAAGTTAAAAAACGTTGTCAAAAAATCATATTATTTTTAATCGCATGGTCAGTTTTGGTTTTTTTATAACTTTCAGTCTGATTTTTGCCTTGCCATCAATTGGTTTTAAGCCCACTTTTTTAAAAAATTAAAAAATTTTCATTTATACAAAACAAATTACCGATTATTGTACTTTTACATAATATTTAAAAAGTGCAAAAAGTGTTTTAAATAAAAGCTTATGAAATGTACCAACTTTTTTAGAGTGTTTGGTAACCCCTTTAAGTTACCGTTGCATGTGTGCGAGTGAGTCCAATAATAGTCACCATGATCAGCTGTCTAACGGGAATCTGGCTGAGCCTGTGTGTCTGTGAGCCTGTGTGAATGTGTGCGAGTGAATGAATGTCCTTGAATTCTTGAGCTTTCAGCTTCCATTAAATCGCGTCACTTTCCAGTTTTTTGCGTTTCAAGTGCCCAAAAAAAAAGTGTTATTAAAATCGAAGAAAATAAACTTGCTTTCAAAACAAGTTAAAAAAAAAAAAAAACAACAAAAATTCAGCGCTGACGGTCAATGGAACGCAATATTGTATTATTATTTTTTATTGCTTCAGCTGCACACGCACACACATAACATACTACATACTACATACAACTTCATTTCTACTCACCAAAAAAAACTAACTAGTTGTAAAATAAGCAAAAATTATTGTTGTTGTTGTTTAATTAGGTTTGAAAAGTTGCAAAAGAAAGTTGTTGCAAGAAAAGAAAGAAAGAAAGAAAAAATTTAAGAAACAAATAAACACATGTTGCGTTCAATTGGCCGCCAGTGGCGCTGTAGTGCTGCGTTTCAGTGTGCAACGTTCCAGACGGCAACCTCTGGCGGCGGGCGCGCCAGCTCGTCCGGCGTACCAGCCCAACAACGACAACAACAACAACAACAGCCACAAAAACAACAACAAGCACAAGAACAACAACAACAACATGAGCAACTGCAGCAGGTTAGCATCTAAGCTATTAGCCTTACCTTTCCCCTCTCTGTAAAATATGTCCTTTCATCCTTTATTGCAGATCGATGAAGAGGTTGCCCGCCTTCTGGCCTTAAAGGCCAAATTGGGTGGAGATGCCCCGCCCGCCAATCAAAAGTTCACCCTGAAGACCCCAAAGGGCACCAGGGACTATGGTCCCCAGCAGATGACCCTACGCCAGGGCGTTCTGGACAAGATCGTTCAGGTATTCAAGCGTCACGGCGGTGAAGCCATCGATACGCCTGTTTTCGAATTGAAGGTGAGTTTGGATAATGGGTTGGGGGATTCAAAATCGATGTCTAGAAACTTTACTTTAGCTACTAAAAGAACAAATCTGAGAATCGTTAAGAATTACCTTATACAAGTTCCCACATATTTCTAAAATATAAACACATGCATCTGTATAAGGCCGTTTGAGATTTATTTTTAGAAATGTGATAGCACCAAACAGCGGTCAGCTTAAGTGATAAAGAAGCCAGTGTCTTGAATATTTAAATATTTCTAAAATTAAACTAACAAAACCTATACAAATTCTCGATCTTTCCCTATCTAAGTTCTCTGACTCACTTTCTTATTAACTCTTTCCAATAGGAAGTGTTGACGGGCAAGTACGGTGAGGACTCAAAGCTGATCTACGACTTGAAAGACCAGGGCGGTGAGATTCTATCGATGAGATATGATTTGACTGTGCCGTTGGCTCGTTACCTGGCAATGAACAAGATCTCGAGCATCAAGCGGTATCACATTGCCAAGGTCTATCGACGCGACAATCCGGCCATGACCAAGGGTCGCTATCGGGAGTTTTACCAGTGCGATTTCGATATCGCCGGAACTTATGATCCTATGTTGGCGGATGCCGAGTGTGTTAAGATTGTGTCAGAGATCCTGGACACCCTTGACATCGGAGACTATGTGATAAAGCTAAATCACCGTCAACTGTTGGACGGCATGTTCCAGGCGTGTGGAGTGCCAGCGGATAGCTTCCGCACCATCTGCTCGGCTGTGGATAAGTTGGACAAGGTAGGCTTAATCTGTTAAAAACAAATCTTTGAGGCATGTAATTCTAATGTATCGGAATTTTTCAGTCTCCCTGGGCGGATGTACGCAAGGAGATGGTGGAAGAGAAGGGTCTGGACGAGGCGGCAGCGGATCGAATTGGCGAGTACGTTCGGCTGAGTGGCGGTGCCGAGCTGGTAGAACAGCTGCTAGCTGATGAAAAACTCAAGGCTGTGCCCAATGCGGTGAAGGGTCTGGAAGGCATGCAGCTGCTTCTCAAGTACTGCTCCATCTTTGGTCTGGAGAAGCGCATTAGCTTCGATTTAAGTCTGGCCCGTGGCTTGGACTACTACACCGGTGTGATCTACGAGGGTGTGCTGAAGGGAGAGTCCGCTGCCGTGGCTTCACCGGTAAAGACATCACAGCAGAACGGAGAGCAGGCGAATGAGCCGGCTACCGTGGGATCTGTAGCTGGAGGCGGTCGCTATGACAACCTAGTAGGCATGTTTGATCCACGAGGCAAGGCTGTACCCTGTGTGGGCGTCTCCATTGGCGTGGAGCGAATCTTCTCGGTTCTAGAGGCGCGGGCTGCCTCAAGCGGTCTGAAGTTGCGTACCAGCGATGTGGAGGTTTACGTGGCCTCTGCCCACAAAGGACTACACGAGCAGAGACTGAAGGTTCTCAACCAGCTATGGGATGCGGGCGTGAAGGTGGGTTCGACCATGAATCTTTGTGGCTTTATATTAATCTTGAACTCTTTGCAGGCGGAGCACTCTTATAAACTGAACCCTAAGCTGTTGGTACAGCTGCAGCACTGCGAGGAGCACCAGATACCCTTAGTGGTTGTACTTGGCGATGCGGAATTGGCACAGGGATTGGTCAAGCTGCGTGAAGTGACCACGCGCCAGGAGACCAATGTCAAACTAGAAGATTTGGCTGCTGAGATACGGCGACGGCAGCAGACTGCCTAGGCTGTTTTTTTTTTTTTTTTTATGACACTGATATTAGCAAAACAATAGCGCTCCTGCTCCTAATTTATGAACCATCCAGCATCGAAGTATACATATATTTTTTTTCCTATTTGTACGTTTTGTATTTTTGGTGTCCTGGCCGGAGGCGCCACGTGCTACTATGCTTAGGTCTACAGTGTAACCATAGGAATAAGTGCGGACAACTTATACCAAAATGAACACTAAAAAGAAACAAATAAACGCTTAAGCGACTTGCATTTAAGCCGGAAATGGTTGTTTTTCTATGGTTTACAATTTTGTTAACCATTTCAATTTAAATTATATTGTTTTTTTTTAATATATTAAAAATAAAATTTAAACTTGTTATGAATGTTTGGTGGTTGCCTGAAAGTATGCTTTGAAATTGAATGTAAAAACCTATCTGTTAGATACTTTTCGGCATATTTAGGATTGGTTATATCTTTAAATGTAAGATACATTTTACTTACAAAATATTCCTTGAAAAACTATAATCCGATGTCTCATAATCTCTTTCAGAATATTGACGAGGATTATCAAACAAGTCAAGATCGGAGTCAGCATAGGGATCGGACGGCGGAGAAGCAGCGCCGAGCAGAGTCCTGGGCCATCTGAAGCGGTGGCCAGCATGCCGGAGACGCTGCCCGCTACTGCTACGGTGACGGCGTCGAGCATCGATTGCACCGTGGCGGTGCTTAAGGTGCCCACGCCCACCCTACAACTGCCAGAGGTGTGTAATATGCAAAGTCTAGGGCTCATCATGGAGCCCAATAACATCAACATCGAACTAAATCCCGCCGCCCTTGTCACACCCGCCATGGAGCCAGTGGGATTTAAGGTAAGTCTGTTAATAACTTAATTAAAAGTTTTAAAATCCCTTTTACTTAAAAATTTTGTGACACATTTGAACAAAGTCTAGTACGGAAAGATGGTTTACTACTGGCGGCCCTTCCTATTTGATTCTATAATGTTTAAGGAGGTGATAGCTCGGGTCAGGGATCGACTGCGTTTTTTCCTTCGATGCTGCTGTTCCTTTTCGGTTTCCATTTCGGAAGTATCCGACGATGGCAGCTTCACTTCAATGTAACCCTCCCTGCGTTCCTGCGGCCGGGAATTACGAATATTCTCCCGCCTTTTATTTTCGGATGGCGACTTCTCCTTTTTTAGTGCCCAGTTTACTGCGAATATGATACGGTCCACTAGTAAAGTGATGGGCTCATCGATGCTGGGTCCCAGAACCAGCGGAGCAGAGTTTTCACGATCCACGTAGAGTATATCGGTGTTAGAAGATTCCTGTTCACCGGTGGTGAAGAATTTACCAATGCTGCGTAGACAAAAGGCTAGGCCACCACGGAATTGTTCCAGGCGTTCTGAACTTAGGTTCGGTGTGCTGTTGGTGCAACCATTGACCGAATTCCGACTGAGCCGTTCAATTAGCTCTTCTTCGGTGTCGGAAAGATCTTTATACCAAGCCTGATAGATCCTAGCTTTGTCCTCATTTTCCATTTTCACATGCAAATCGACCAGAGCTGTAAGGTATTGCTTCAAATTTTCTAGACGTTCCAGGTAAAGCTGCAAAGGTTGATTCAACAGCATCTCCATATCCATATCGTTTGGAGTTTGATGTCTTGGGTCACGAAGTCTTTCACAAAGATCTCTGAGTGTGGTCAATTGGTACATTGACTGAGTCGTATCATGGTTGTCCATTTCGATCTTTGTCAGCTGTTTATCTTCGTTAAACGAGCCATCAAGAGTTGCCATGCTTGTGCATATTTCGCCATCCTTGGTAGTACTAGAGCTGGAAACGGACTTTAGATTGCGGTGAAGTGTCGTAATGAGACTATTGGTATTGCTTGGAAGGTTGGTCCTGGTGTCCTTCTGGCAAAGCTTATAGGGATCAAATGTGATATTCAGACCGCCTCTAGCCCGCTCTTCTGGTTTTGGAGTTACTACCGAGCTTTTGCTTTCGATGTCCATGAAGTTGCCTTTCACTGAAATATCATTTCGCATTGTTACCCACAAGTCTTCGCAGTGTTCCATTACAGAGTCTTTCTTTGGAGTACTTTCTGGAGGAAGATCAGTACTCTTCTGCTTCTGCTTTTGTTTCTGCTTCTGCTTCTCCTTCTCCTTCTGCTTCTGCTTCTGCTTCTGCTTCTCCTTCTCCTTCTTCTCTTTCTTCTTCTCCTTCTTCTCCTTTTCCTTTTCCTTCTCCTCCACCTCCTCCTCCATCTCCCACTTCTCCTCCTTTTCCTCCTCCTCCATCTCCCACTTCTCCTCCTGCTCCTCCTTTTCCTCCTCCTCCTTCTCTGCCTTCAGCTGATTGAACTTTGGAAGATAATCGTCTTGGATTCTTACGATGCATCTATGTGGCTTGGTCTCGCCACGAAATAGTTTCCTCAGACACTTCTTCACATTTCGCGGACTCACACCCTTCTTGGGATTTGAGGAGACATATACTAGGTATTGACCCGCTGCATCCATGGCAACATAGCGATCATTGGCAATGTCCTGAACGTTGTCCGGAGCATGGGCCACCAGCATCCTAAGGATCTCGGTATTAAAGTACTTGTTCATCTTGAGGAATCAAGTAAATTTTGTTTTTTTTTTTAATTGAGTTTTTTTTTTGTGTTTCTGCTTACAAAATGTCTGAAGTTATACTGAAAGAAGGGAAGTTGGATTTTTGAATGGAAGTTAGTAAGAAAGCCTGTTCTGTTTTGTAGACTAAGAAAAAAAAGTTAAAACTATTTAACTTTAAAATTTTTATATCGAAGGCAAAGTTTGTTGGCTAAAAGAAGTCACATCATCGAGGTTGGCACAGTAATCTAAGGAAAGGATTGGGAAAACCTCAATAAAATTAATTGAAATTTGAAAAAATAACTTCATAAATTAACAACATATTAAGATATAGTTTTATAACTATAACAGGAGAAAGGTTAAAAGTTATATTCAAATTAAGAAAAATAGTGAAAGATCAAAGATCACCAAATTGTCTCTTCATAGCAGTTTGACTTTTTCAAGTCCAATAATAGCTTTATCAAATTATATACCTACCCTCCCTTAAGCTATACCTACTCTTAAACTTAAAAAGACTCTAAATTCATCTATTATTTAGGCTTTATATTTTCTCACTGTGCATCGCTTTTGGCATCTCTTAATTTAATTATGCAAAGCACAGAGAAATGTCAAGCGGTTCGCGGCTGCTCATCGCCTCGTTTTTACACTCGAACTGAGTCCTGATTGAGGCTGTCCCCGCATTTCTCATGCTTCAGTGCGTCCAATTTGATGGCAAGGTGCCCAGGGGTGGTGGCGAATGGCAGAATGGCCTTCTGCCTCATTCAAATGACCCAACGCAACGTAACGTAACGGCGGACTGATTCTGACAGGCGCCGCCACAGAGATCTCTCTCTCTCTCTCTCTCTCTCTGTTGGCTAATACAGTTTTAATATGAAATTTCATTTCGTTTCAACGATTGTCCAACAATTTGTTGTTGTTCTCGTTATTGTTATTGTTTTTGTTGTTGTGTCTCTACCGCTGCCGTTGACATGTCACTGTGATGAAGTTGAAGGTTGCCAGGGGTCGCACAGTGGGCATGTGGCTTGGTTAAAAGGTTGAGAAGAAAGTCCCCTAAAGTTGAGCTTGGCTTGGGAGGAAGATTAAGTTAGTTTTTTTATAATATTTTATATAATTTATAATTTAAGACATATTTAAGTTCTACTTCTACTGCTATAAAACAAACTTTAATATTATTTAAAGGATTTTTCAGAACTTAAACTAAATTTCTTAATAATACAAACTAAGCAAGAAAAATATAGAACTTAAAGTATAAATTCTGCTTAGATAACTTAAAATTTAATACACTAAATTCTCCTTTTATATACCATAATATCAAATATATAGAATTCATAATCATAAACCATAGGTTATGACCCACTGTTCCGTGTGGTGGTGGGACTGACTGCAGTGGATTGTGTTGGGCTAGGATTTCGAGGTTTGCCCTTGGTAGTGTTCAGCCTGAACCCCGTCCGTGTGCATGTTTTTCGTGTGTGCAGTGATTTGTTTGAGGGAACTGGGATTGGAAGTTGAATGAAATTGGGTTTGGGTTTTTTTCTTTTTTTGGGTTTTTGGGACGAGGGTGCACTTCAGAGGGCGAACTGATATCATTCAATGCTTCTAATTTACGGATTAATGAAGGCGCAACTTTACATATGGAAATGCTAGCTGCTTGCCGGCGATCGTGGGAAGCGATTAGAGAGCAGTGCGTTGGTTTTTCATTTTCATTTTGGTTGGTGGTGCAAAAGAGGTGGAGAGAGAGAGAGAGGGGGGTCCCCTTTTAAAATCATTGCCCATTGCATTGGCATTGATGGATTGGCCCATAAATTTGTGATTTGCTAAGCTCGACTGCCATTTTCCAGTCCAGTCCAGCCAGCCGATCACAAAGTCAATTTGTATGAATATTTATGGTAGGCTGGTTAAAATCTATATTTAGTGTGGGTGTTGGGAATGTGTGGAAAACTCTATATATATGCATTTCCCTCGGTCAGTTTGGGTTAAATATTTAATGTTATTTTAGCATTTTGCTCTATAAATTCAGCTTAGAATGGATTTAGGTGGATCCTTGGGGAGTTCTTTGCCCCCTGATTTCCATCCATCTTGCTGTCAAACTAAGCTTTAGTTTTCCTATTCCTATAGTTTATCAACTGAGAGATATAGAAAAAAGTTATATCTTTGATTTAAGCAACTCTTACCTATTAATTATGGCTTTCCACTAAGACCAGCACACTCTCCAGGATTCCATCCTTAGTCACATGTCCCCCTTTTTTCTTTTTCCCAAACCCAAAGTATCCTGCGAACAAACACTAATAATATTAATAACGATTATCGCCCGATGAAAATGAATCTGGGCTCTCTGGAATCGGATTCAGAGTCATAAATACACGACGCTCACTCACTCACTCACTCACCTCATTCATCCGCCGTCATCGATAGTATCTCAGAGTTTCATGGCGAGATTCGGGTAGGTGATCCAAGAGGGAGGGGATAGGCGGACAGAGCCACGCGACGCCAGTTGCTTATCGCGGGTGACCAGAGAATCGCCACGTGCGATTTCATTGCCAATTCCATTCATAGTTCGACCAGCTCATGTGTGCCATGAACCAGTGAATGGTTGATAGGTGGTACTCTCGAGGGCAAGTAACTAGGATATAGTTTTGGAATATTAAAATTAAAATTAAAAGAATACTTAATAGATATTTTGATTGGTATTTTGTTAAATATTAAAGCTTATTCTTTGCTTAAAAATAATTATACATTTTTTTATATAATTTCTTTGTGAATTTAAAAAAAAAAGTTGCTAAAAGTTGACAGCAAAATTTCTTTTACAAAAAGTTGAATTTTTAAAATACCTAAAAATTAATATTGTAGTTTTGCAAAATATATTAAAACTTAACTCACTTATTTTGTAATTTTGAAATTTTACTAAACTAAAATAATTTTTTATTTAATTAAAAACTTTAAATTTCAATTTTATTTGCTTTACAGAAACCCTAACTTGGAAAATTCTGAAATAATTAGTCTCTAAATCTAAAAAGAAAAACAAAATAAATTTGAAATTCTTAATAAAAAAATATATATAAATCAAATTTAAGTACTATTTTCATGCCCTCAACTGTGAGTAACTGGTAGGAACTGCTGGTTTAAACGGCGGGGGATTGTTAACGGGAACAAAGACGAGCTAGCGGGACCAGCAAATTTGCGTGCAATCGTTTTGGCCTGCGTTTTTAATGACTTTTTCGACTCAACTCGGGTTATCCCCTAACCCCTCTGCCAGCTTCAACTTCACCTCACCCTCTTCTTCCTCCTCCTCCTCCTCCTTCTCCTGCACCATCACCCTCAAGGCAATGCATTTAATTCGATTATGAAGAGACGCATTGAGTTCCTTGGGTATATAATAATCATTTTTGGTGGTGGCTTTCGTTAAAAGTAATTGAAACTCTGGCTGTAAGTGGAACGCAGTAGTATCCCTCACCTCTCTCACCCCCTCCCTGGGCATCTTCACGTGCGCCGGAGTACAACTAATGTGGGTGTTAACGGTGTGTTAAGTGATTTTGCCATTTGTTTGTAGGATCGAAAACCGAACAATTCCAATATTCCTTGACTTCGATGGGCGACGACAACGATGACGTTGGCGGTGAGAACGAGGAGGATGACGACGTCGACACCCGATAAGTATCGGGGTCTTTGGGCACTGAACTGAGTACTTGCCCTGCTCACACACACACGTTTCGCACATATTTCAAGCGCTTTTCATTGCGGATATAACTTTTCATTTCCGCTTTAAAATGGATAAAGGCAATTGCACAATTGTATCGACTTACAAAGGCATTGTGATATTTAAGGGGATTTCAAAGAGCCAGGCAGGAGGAACTTTCTAATATGATTCCTTTTCTTGCTACCCCGGAAATTTGTAGAGTTTTCTTAGGAGCATTGTTCTTGGGACTATATAAAAAGATTTTTTGGTTCTGGAAAAAAAGGATTAGTTTTAAATTTAGAAGAAAAATGTATCAATATATATGATTTATAGAACTTAACTCGTTCTAGTTTTAGTTTTCATTGGCAAGTTTGTTAAGACAACAGGAAATCTAGGATATGTAGAAATGATATGTAGTTTATGAAAATGTAAGAATATAAAAGAGGGATGTATGTACATATCAAATATCTATATAATACTTATAATATTATTTCTAAAAGTCCCTCTAATGAGCTTATCAATATGGATTTTTGGTATTCATATCAGCAATAAGCTCAGCTCTTATATCCTAGCATTCTTAAAAGGGTTGAGTCAAAGATGTCATTCTTCAGAGAAAGTTAAGATGTTTAATAATCAATGGTATCATATATAAAGCTTATCTATTATTATCTTTCTATGTACTTATCTAAGGTTGATTTTATAAGCATGTTGATTAAGACATCGGAATATTAATAGTAAACATGCCTTCAAAATATAGTTTCTGAAATGGTGTAATTCTTCAGAGAAAGTAAAGATGTTTAGTACTGAAAAAAAAAGGATTAATATTATAATTGTAGAAAAATTTATTAATATAAAAAACTTATCTTGTTTCCATGGTTTTGTCCTAGTCTCTTTTTATAAACAAGTTGGTTAAGATATCACAAAAGCTATGATATGTAGCAAAGATAAGTTCCTGAAACTAAAGTTCCTTTAGCAAGTTTGTTAAGACATCAACAAAGCTATGATATGTAGCAAAGAGTAGTTCCAAAGAAGAGGTACTGAGGCTGTTTCCTTTAGCAAGTTTTTAAGTCATCAGAAAAGCTATGAAATGTGGCAAATAATAGTTCCTGAGGCTGTTTCCTTTAGCAAGTTTGTTAAGACATCAAAAAAGCTGTGATATGCAGCAAAGAATAGTTCCAAAGATTATTTCCTGAAATAGTAAGATCTTAATAAATGAATGTACCTATCAAATATCATATAAATACTCACAATATTACGCCCCAAAATTCCTCTCTAACGAGCTTATTAATATGTATTTTCTGTATCCTTATTACCAATGAGCCCAACTCGTCGTATATTCCAGCACTCGTTAATGGGTTAATTCAAAGTTGCAATTTATCTCTGCCTTGGCAAGTGTCGTCCCTTGTCGCCACTACCCTTGGTTTTACTTTACTTTCCTCTTGTTTTTTTTGCTAGCCCTTTTCCGACAGCCTTCCTGCTAATGAAAACTAAAAACTTCAATTACCAAAAGAACCAAATAATGCGTTTTTAAACCCAAAAATGTAAGAGTTAAGAGAGCGTCCGAAGAAATTGTGATAGATGAGGGTTTGGCAATGTTTTTTACGGGCCACTTGTTCGTGACTCGGACTGCTTTCAGCTTTCTGCTTCCAGTTTTCTGCTTTCTGCTTACCAAAAAAAAACAAAAAGAGTGACCAAAAATGGCAATAAATCAGGGTAAATAACACACAAAAGTATCAGGGGGTTGAGTGGGCGAAATGAAAGGGTATTTCTCTTGGAATTTCCCAATGGGGTGATTATTTAAAATTGTGCAAAGCATAAATACAAGTCGAAAAGTTTTGGGCGGGCAAAAGAGGCAACAGATGTGGGATAACTGGGATACCAGAATATCTTCTGTCCCATTGTAATTGCATGTTTTTAGCCTTATTGCCTTTGGCCCAGAAATTTGTACCACTGGGATTGTATAGTGTTAGTGTTACTTACAAGATGGAAGTCGTCCAATCGATATGTCCATAAGAGAGATGCCTGAAAAAACTTGCAATTAAGAAAAAGAAAGAAAAATACAAGAAATTATTAAAATATTTTAAACATTTGTAAAAATATTTATTGTCTTATAATTTGGCTAAGTTAAAGTCAAACAATTTGTAAAATGAGAACATAGTTTTTGGTTTTGGCAGTGAGTAAATAGAAAGTGTAATGTTAAAGAAAAAATATGTTCTGATGAGTCATTATGCATAATGAATATAGTCTTTGTAAATTCGAAAGAGTGTCTAATAATTTGGCTAAGTGTAGTTGATAACATTTTATGATTAGTAAATACATTTTGCATAATGAAGAGTGTTTTTTTTTTAACAAAGTTTTTGATATTACAAACAATGGCAGTTAAGTATTAATTAATAAAAAGTGTAATTTAAAAAACAAAAAAGAAATAATTATTAGATCAATCCATAAGGCACATCAATTAGTATAAGCATAACCACGGCTAACCAATTCCGTGTGCAGGCAGGTCATTTCTCCCTGGAAGCAAATCAAATATCCATCGTTGGGAAGGATTTCCTTGATAGCAACATCAATTTCTTTTTCAAAAATCTTATTATTTAAATACTGTATGCCCGTTGTGATCTTTTGATAGGACATAAACTTGGCAGTTCGTATACCTTTGATCTGGAAACGATAGGCCAGAAAGGGAGTATATTTGTAGTCTTCGTAACAGGGCGCCAGTTCGTCACGAGTAAGGAATTCCGAGCTACCAAAGTCCACAAAAAATACATAATATTCATCATCGTTTATATCCATGATCTTGGCACGATAATAATTGTCATCAACATATTTGGCCAGAATCATGTCGAATACTTCAAATTCTTCATCGTAATCTGGCAATCGATTGGGACGCCACTTTGGTGGCTTTGGACCATCAACTAGATAGCCATAAAACTCATCGGAGCAGCTTACATAGGTAACATGAAGGCGTACAATGCTGCCCACATACGGTCGTTGTAGTAGAGTGCCATGAAGAACTCTTGCCACCTCCATGTCCAAATCATCAAGTTCTTCATCGTCATTCGAATAGATTCGTACAGGAATCTCTGAAGTTTCTAAATCATTATTTTCCCTGGTTACATCAACAATCAGATGAATGCCATTATTGCTAAGAACTTGCAGCTTAACATCTTGACGCAGTAATTTCCTTAACATATCCACATGCAAGATATTAGCCAGAGAACATTTAATTGCTTCCGCAGGTAGATTTTTTAAAAATATCGGTAATTTGAATATTCGCTCCCTGCCAGTCATATGGATATATTCCCCAAAGTCAATCATATAGGCTTCATAGCCACCATCAGGTGATTGAGATGCAATGGTTACCCGTGATATGGCATTTTCGATAACGTCATAGAAACCAAAAATTTCGCCATAATTCGGAAACTGTTCCAGCTCTTGCAATGCAATCTTACCAACATGCAGGTATTCGATTGGCATCGAAATCCTATTGAAATTGCACACAAAAAATGTGATATCTTCTTGGCTCACCTGAATGACAGTGGCCGTAGTTTCAAAGCCTACGGGATATTCATAAATTTTCTTTCGAATTTTTTCATAAATTTCCAAATTGCTTAATTGCTGGCCACCTATGGGAGGTAGCAAGCATGTTGTTCGCGGTAATAGTGGCATATTTGGTAATGGTAGGCCAGATATATCACGGTTTATGGCCATATGATAATCGTCAAATGACCACTCGTACGGTAAACGTCTTTGAAAAATTGAATTTAACATTGCAAGTAAATCAGACTCGCCGACTTCTGAATAAACTGGTACTGGTACTATTTTAGGCTTTAAAAACTCCTTAGACTCCAATTGGTTATTTTTTTCCATTCGATCGATTGAGTTTGTAAAATTCTAGGAAGAAATTCAAGCTGTCAATTGCGCCGCCGAAAAAGAAAAGGAATTCTTAGAGATGTATTCCACTTACTTATCGCTCCTGTGCTTTCGATATCGATATATCGAATTTCGGAGTTCCCCCAATTTTTTTTGGTCTGATATAGATAGACAAAAGAATATGATTTTGTATTGCCCTCCTTTTGTCAGTTTACTTTTCAGTTGGAAAGTCAACTTTTTATATTAAGCAAGCACAATGTTAGACGACAACTTTTGAAGTGGGCTGCCTGTTTTGATATCGATAAAAATTCAGTTTCTGTACCGAAATGAGGTGAAACAGATCCGCTTATTGAACTTCTTATTTACTTTTTATTATCACTTTGCGATTTTTTATTTAAATTTTTTAATTTCTTAATTTTAAATATAAAATAATTGACTTGGCTGGTACTGTACCCAAAAGAGTGGGACCAGTATATAAGGATACCAAAAATCCGATCAGCTTTTGTGGTTTGAAACCAGATGAGAGGGGTTGGGTAACAGGATCAGCTGATTTGCTATCGATAATGGCGTCAAAGTTAACATAACAGAATGTCGAAAGTTAAGAAAATGCCTTTAAAATCTTCGCCAAAAACTGCAACAAGTGGAGCCGGATCTCCAGCAGAAGCTTCCTCGGCAGCCGTGGCTTCAGATGCCAGTGAAACGGAACGCCTGGTGAAGTTGGTCATGGCCATGGGTTATCCCGAGGGCGAGGCTCGCCTTTCGTTGGCCCAAAGCAACAACAATGTACAGCGTGCAGTGCAGATTTTGGTGGAAGGAACCGCGTACAATGATGATGATGAATCCCAAAAGCATCGTCGTAGTCGCCAGCGATTGCGCAAACTGCGCCACACTCTTATGGGTGACCCTCTGGCCACGGACGACGACATCGTCGAGATGATGCGGGATCAAAGGGTAGCTTTGGCCATTACTGAAATGGTAAACGGTAGCAGTGTGCAGACTATGCAACTTCTGCTTGAGGATGAGGAAGAGGAGGAGGAGGAGCTAGAGGAGGAGGAGGATGAAGAGGAAGAGGAGGAGGAGGAGTATATGGAATATACCCTGGCGGAGTCGTCTTCAAACGCTGAAAGCTCGCCAGCTAGCAACTGAGGCAGAACAGCGTTTTTTCCTTCTTTTCCTTATTGGAAAGAAGCCAGTTTTGATTCTTATTGTCATATCTTAAGGTCTGTGCCGCCAGGTTTATGTTTGTAAATCAAGAAGGCCAGCTTATTGTTCAGTTTTCTATTGTCAAGTATCATATAGTGTCGAGTTGGTTTATATGTCATTATCTTTAATAACTTTCTTATATCAACATAAGTATGAAGAACGAAAAGTTAACTAAGGAAATTTTAGAAATAACTCATTGAATTTGTATGATTTTTTCAAGATATTGCTTATAAGATGTAAAGATTGAAATCTGTTTAACATTGCAAAGTTGAAATGTAAACTATTTGTTAATTGCTTTAAAGTTGTCTAAGTACTCCAAGCTAAGTTCTATGGCTATCAACTTAAACTAATGATAATACTTAACAGTAATGAACTTTCCTAATGTAAAAAAGTAATTAATAAGAGAATTTCAAGATCTTAAGTCTTAAATTTAACTTAAGTTACTATGTAAACTGGTAAAGAAACTTTGTTTCTAATATTCTTAATCTAAGTTCAAGCAAAAAGTCAGACTTTCAAGTTGTAAAAGCAAAGCAAAGCCTCTTTAATGAAAGATAATACAAAATCTAAACTACTTTCAGTCAACTTTCATTGTCAATTAAGAAGACTATATCAAATCCAAGCGAACTCTTTTGCTACAATATTACCTGATGAGGTATCAAATATATTTATTTACCCTGCAGCCATCAAGAGGCATTAAATGCATTAGGGTTATGCCGTCGTACCCCTCAGCCCGCTGCTTTGCTGCTGTTTTGTTTTGGCGGATGTGACTCCCGGTCAAGGAGCGGAAGAAGCCGGAACTGAACAGCAACAGCAACAGCAACCCTGTGGCAATAGCAATGCCCAGCTTGTCAACCCTTTTTGGCCCGATGATTAATGATCGCTCTTTTTCGTTTTCCAGTGTTTTGTACTGATTTCAATTTACCGCTTTCGCTGAAAAGTTCCTTGGAGTACATAGTGCATCCCCTACTGTATTTTCTTGTTTTTTTTTTTATTTTACTTTGCAGTTGAAAAATTCTAATTAATTTTGACTTGCAACCGTTGACACTGTCAACCGCAGCCACGTAACCCACCCAGTGTTTATCGCGTTTGATCGGCGTTGCGGCATACCGCAAACTACAGAAGGCGTCAGTCAACCCCCTTTTTTTTTTTTTTTTTTTTATTTTGGACGACCCAATGTCCAACGTCCAACGTTTCTCGGTACTTGGTACTTGGTACTCGGAACTTGAAGGCGTAGGCGTCGCCGTCTCAGTCTCATTTATCAAGGGCAGGCAACTGTCGCCGCTTTTTTCGGTTGCTGTTTGTGGGGTTAAGATTGCGAGCGGGTTAAGTCAGATTGCAAAGCAAAAAAAAAAAAAAAAATGAGGAAAAATATGGAATATTCTGCGGGTGTTCATTTTGATATTATTTAATATTAATGGACGTTGATAGCTGGAATAATAGAGTATGATTTAATGATGGGGTATGAAATGAGTTTTTCATGTCTATAGAGGAGATGATAGGCATAGGGAAATAATGTTTTTTTTAGTATCACTAACTAAAGGGTTAGTTTGCAGGGAAAAGAAGGGGTTTTAAGATGATAGGAATTTATTAGGTAAAGTTGTTTCCGATAGTTTGTGGTATTTTCTTTATATTTAAATGCTCTAAATGTTATTCTAAGTAAAAGATATATTAAATCATTATTTCCTAAGAACTCTCTATATCCCTAAATACTTTGTACTTAAGCAGTTTTCTGATATATTTTAAGGAAATAAGATCAAAGCCTATTCATATCTTAAAATAAGATCTATGAATATGTGCTACAGAGTGGCCCATTTAGCCTTTGCTTTTTGAACTATCATTAATTTTACTTTGAAATTTCGAATGTCATTGTCAATGTTTCAGATATTTAGTAGAAGGTTTGCGGTTTACGAAATGGTTAAGTTTACGCTCGAAGAAAATACGCAAATCTTCCGTGGGCCACCCTATATATCTCAGTAAGATAAAGTCTATGTAAAGATAGTTCTTGACACTTTGTGATATTTTTTATTTTATTTTAGTGCTCTAAACCTTAATCTAAGTAACAGATCTGTTAGATAGTTATACTTAGTAACTCTCTATATCCCTAAATATTTCCTACTTAAACACTTTTCTCATCTATTTTAAGTAAATAAGATCAAAGCCTAATCAGAACTCTATATAGTTCATATTCTCAGTATTATATATACTATTTTCTTTAGATATTTCCTAGAAAGAAACCTATATCCAATACCATATCTCAACACCATCGTATAGCTATGCGATTCAATCGGGGTTTTCAGTTTCCAGTTTCCAGTTTCGTAGTGCGGTTCAAGTTTTGTTCGGGTTCGCTGGACTTTAAAATGCAATTGTCACGGGCCGTAAATTAGATGTGGAAAAATCCGTAATTCGATACTGCGTTGACGTCGCTGACAATGGCATGCAATCAGGCTTGGTTTGTCCGACCATTAGCTTTACCGTTACCTTGCTTGTACCGCCGTCGCTTGTTAACTTCGCTTCGTCGTTTTGCATATGAAGGGGAGGTTATTGGTAAATTTGGGGCGGGGTTTTTTTTTTTTTTTTTTTATCAATATGTTGACAACACAAGCGAGTAATAATAATTGCAATAACAATTTGCAGCGAACCAAAGAAGCGTGCGAAATGTGTCAAGAAGGCAGAGAGGGTTTAAGGATGGAGGAAAGGGTTACGATCCAGTAATTGTCTCTGTAAAAAGAAACAAAAAGATGAGGCAAGAAACTGGTGGCAAGACCTCGTTTATACAACATCAATATGTGTTGTGGCGATCATTTAAATGGATTATTAAAGTAATTTCCAATGTAAATGAGGTAGCGAAGGAGCAAAGATGATGACGAGCGACAGACGAAGACAGCCTGGGAAGTAGAAGGGGTCCAGCAATCGATAACCGCATCATCCGAGAGTCCTGCCACAGGATATGACTATATGCAAATCGAATCGAACAGTTCAGTTTCAAGTGGTAACCAAAAACCCGAATCCTGAAATCCTGAATCCAAACCAGCCAGAGTCAGGGGCTCTCTTTTTATTTGCTCAAACGCTTAATTGTGTAAAAAAAGAAAAGAAAAAAAGGAGCGATGATGATAGTCCTGCGGCGGCGGCGGCGACGGCAGGAAGAGAGCTCATACACAGAAGGAGCAGCTGCCGAGGGCTGCCAATTAATAGATGAAAATGGATTTGCGTAAGAAATATGCGTTGCCATTTCCACTAACGTTACCATTTTTACCATTCCATTCCATTTCCATGGCCCAACCAACAATGGAGAGCGAGCGAACCAGAGACAATTAGGCAATTATTTGCGCAAAGGATCAAAACCAAAACAAAAAGCCTTGCCACCCATTCATCCAGCCATCCATCCATTCATTTATGCTACACCACCACCACCACCACCCATCCACCACCACCCTCTCTGACCCCTCTCTGTCCGTTCATGTTCTCGTTTGGCTTGGTGGGAAAGCGCTCAATGGGTCCATGGGTTCGGGTATGCCTGGGCCCGTGTGTTCCAAATTCCGTAGCCAAGGAAGATGAGCAATGCCAAAGGAGATGACCAGTTAGGTGGTATTAGCTTGGACTTGTTAAGATCTGGCTTTTTTTCTGGATTTTTTGAAACTTTGAAAAAGTTTTCTTTTAAAAGTTTTTTTTAAATTTAACTTTTAAGACTTTGGATAACTCCTTCTTAATTAAAAACCAAGACTTGATTAGCCTCTTTTTTTAGCCACTTTTGGCTATAACCTATAGCCTATCTCATCACTGACAGGAGCAGAGCTTAGGTGAACTTTCTTGGTCTGGGGCTGGGGCTTGGGTTTCGTTTGGAGTTTGGCCTGGGCCGTTGCTTTTAATTGAACATGAGCAATTAGCGTGCAATTTGTTTCGCTCGCGAATGTGAGCTAACGGTAAATGGGGGCAGTTGCCCTGCTCCCTGCTCCGTGCTACTTACTGCCCCTGACCTTCCCCCCTCACGTGTGCCACGTGCTTTTTCCTCTCGATTTTTTCTTCTTTTTTTTTTTTTTTTTTGTGAGTGTGTGTCTCTTGCCAAGAAACGCACTTGAGCAGAATTAATTTTAAATGCGGCTCTGCACGCGGCTAAGTGATTATGTCCTGAGCAGAAAGAGCGAAGCCATTCGAGTTAGAAGCTAGCCATTCAACCACCACCACCCACCATCACCCACCACTTTCTTCATTGCCAGTTTGCTCGCATGTTTAATTATAATTAAAAAGCACAGCACAGCATCTCTAGCATACCATACCAACGGCACATCCTTCAGGCTAACCTGATCCATAAACATTAAAATGGTTAATTGAGTGCTTAGTGTGTGTCCTTACCACCCATCTCCGGCCTCCCCCCAACCCCCACTCTTCTTTGAGAGTGCAGCGTAATATTAATTATTTTAATTGAAATGTTCATTATTTTACATCTAATTTAGCGCTAGGTGCGTGTGCCACTCCCACCTTTTCAATTCATTCAGCCACAGCAGACCCCCGCACTTTGGTCCATTGGTCATTTCTACATGCTGGATACCAGGCAGAGTGGAGGCTGCACAGTGGGCAGTCAATCTGTTGCTGTTTTTTTTGGGGGGGGTTTACTTAACAGGGGAAACTTAACAGATTAGTAAAGTTGAATGGGAATGTTTTTTTTTTATGATTTTTAGGAACAAAATATATACCTAAAGACTTAAAAATATTATAAATAATAATAAAAATAAGCAAGTAAATGCATTAAATAATAGATATATTTTTTAGAGATTCTTATTAGCAACTTTTTCATTTTTTCTAGACTAAAAATTTATACGATACCTTATCATATCTCAAAATAATACGTCATAAATCCTTACCAGAACATTTAAAATATTTAAAATTATACAAATATTTTTCTAAAATTTCATATAATTTATATTTTTTATATAAAAAAAAATTCAAATCTTTATTTTTTCTACTTTTTCCCATACAATCCCACTGTGCCTTGTCAGTGCGATATTTAATTCTTTTTATTTTCGGCCTGTTTTTTATTTTTTTTGGGGTTGTTGCAGGCTGTTTGGCGCGGGGTTTATTATAAATTTTTAATTGGCTTTTTATGTATGAATAATGCCAGCACCCCGGCACCCCACCACCCGGTTTGGTCGCCCGTAGAGTTAAGAGCGGTGCCACCAGTAGAGACGCTCCTGTCTCTCCCAAAGAGATGGGGTAGTTTGGCGTATCATTTATGCAGTTAATTCATTGTGCGGTTATTATTCTTCCTGCACAGCGAAAAAAATCAGTTAATAGAGGTTTTTTATGGTGTTAAATTGAGCTAATTTCTAACTAATAGGTGAAAGGTAGGAAAGGTTGAAATTCCCCTTTAATAAAGGCAATATTTTAGATCATTTTCCACCTAAACTTAAAGCAAAAAATGTGAACTTTAACCATGAATCAAACTTATTTTACTTTACTTTAAGCATTGCATTATTTTTAACTTAACAAATATTAGTTTATGTTATCAAAGTTAAACTAATTATATCTCTGGTAGCACATTTCATTGATCAGTTTTATTATGTACCCATTTTCTTGCT